ACTTAAAGAAATTATTAAGATTACCCGCAAAGGAAAAAATCGCATTGGAGCCACCTTTTTGAATTACAGTGCTGCAAATAAATTTATTAATGATAAGGACTGGGATTCAGTTGGTTACGAAGTATTTATCCCTTCACATAATGTGTCCTGCAAAGGTATTGTCAGACATGTTCTAAAATCTCTTACCGATGACGAAATACAAGATGCCATAAATACTCAACTGGCTTTTTGCAAGCCCCTAAATGTTAAAAGACTTAACAGACGAGTAGTTGAAGAAGGACAGGAACCAAATTATATTCCAACTGGAACGATTTGTGTAACATTCTCTGGAAAAATTATACCAAAAGAAATAACTATATATGGCCTACCAATGAAAGTAACTCCTTATATAAGCCCTGTTCTTCAATGCCAACAATGCCTCTTATATGGTCATAATATTAAGCAATGCCGCAGCAATGCAAAATGCAAAATTTGCGGAAAAATCCACGAAATCGGTACAGAAACTTGTAATAAGTTTTGTATCCATTGTAAAAATAATGAACACTCTTCTAATGACAAAAAATGTCCTGAATACAGCAGACAAAAAGACATCAAAGAATTAATGTCATTTTCAAATATCTCATATTATGAAGCAAGTCAGATGACTCCAAGAAAAACTAATACTATGTACGTGCATAATATAAATGACTTCCCTACTTTAAATAACGATTCTCTAAATACCAATTCTATTAACATTCACGAAAGAAGAACAGCTCTCATTAATACTTCACAGAGACATAATACCTACAGTCAAATAACTCGATCATCGACTATTAAACGTAGAAGACCTGAAGAAAGAAGTTTCAATAAAAAAGCACTCGACGACTGCCTCATAAATCCTAATGGTAGAATTCCAGAACCAAAGCCTTCTACATCCAACGTCAATAGAAGAGATTTGGGGAAAAAACTTGAATCTGATATTGTTCAGGCTATATCTGTCTTATCTCAATCCCACAGGGAGCTCGTTATGACATTTATTGGTAACATAATTAATAATACGTACTCTTCTGCTAGTAATAGTAATGTTTCAACAACAAATATTTTAGGTTCCCAAGAACCTTTTTCCCAAATTAGTAATAACCCTGTATCACATGATAATGTTGGTGGAATGGATTACTCCGATCAGGAGGATCTCTAATCCAACCAAACATTTATATTTTGTCTGGTTATCATTACTCCATTAACCATTATTCAATGGAATATTAGATCATACAATGTGAATGTTGACAATCTTAAAGTTCTAATTATGGAACACAATCCTGATATTATATTACTTAACGAAACATGGCTCACTGATAAATATACCTTAAAATGCAGAGGTTATCAAATACTTAGAGATGATAGATTTGATGGATATGGGGGAATTGCTATACTAATCAGAAACAGTATAGACTTCTTCCAGACAACTATTAATAATTGCTTTGATCAAAATATCCAAACCCAACTCTTATTCTTACCTCATTATAATCTAAATTTGATTAATATATATTGTCCTGCAGATAACCTAATTACTAAAAGGAATTTTATAAAATTTATCCAAAAAATAAATAAACCCTTATTAATAATGGGTGATCTTAATTGCAACCATACTGTATGGGGGAGTAGCTCTAACAGCTTCAATGGTAAAAATATTTTTGAAGCTTTAGATGATCTTGATTTAATATTCCTCAATGACGGCTCTCCTACTCGTACTTCTCCTCCTGGAGGAAGTAATTCTGTAGTTGATGTATCCCTTATATCTTCTGAAATAGCATCTAAATGCACCTGGGAGGTTATTTCTGATCATGGATCAAGTGATCACTTCCCCACAATGTGTAAAATTGGTATGGGTCCATGTACCATTCCATTGCCCACTAAAAAGAGAAATTTCCATAAAGCTGATTGGTCCTCTTATCATCGCAACCTTGATGTAATCTTTTCTTCATTTAGTAGTGATAGTTATGAAGATTTTATTGAATCTCTTAATTCAGTGGCTGACACCACAATTCCAAATGTCAAAGGCAATAGTAAAAACAAATACCAGATACCATGGTGGGATAATTCATGTGATGACATAATTAAAAAAAGAGTAACGGCCATTAAAAATTTTAAAGACATCCCAACTGTAGAAAACTATATCACGGTCAAAAAACTTGTTGCATGGTCTAGAAAACTTTTGAAAACAAAAAGGAAAAATAGCTTCAGGGAGTTTTGCGGAACACTAAATCGCGATTCATCCTTAAAAACGATATGGAATAAAGTAAATTCAGTTGCAGGTCAGAAAACTAATACTTCCAGTCTTATGCCATCTTCGCTACTAGCTAATGATATACTAAAAATCATAACACCGAATTCTGCTTCCCCTGCTGTTGCTATCAAAATTCCTAATGACAAAGAACCTGCCTTTACATATAATGAATTTAAGTATACATTATCAATTAAAAAAAATTCTTCTCCTGGCTTAGATAATATTTCCTACTCAATGGTAAAAAACTTACCTAACTTGGGTGCCGTTTGGCTGTTACAATTCTACAATAACTGTCTCAAAAGTGGATCTATTCCCCAACAATGGAAACAATCTTTAATCTTGCCATTTGTAAAATCTGGGAAAGATAAATCATGTCCAAATAATTATAGACCTATAGCTTTAACATCCTGCGTTGGAAAACTTCTAGAATCACTTATCAAAAATAGAGTAGAATGGTATTTGGAAAACAAGAAAATCTTCCATCCCTTACAACTAGGATTTAGACGAGGAAAAGGCTGCACAGAATCAATATCTTACTTAATCACCCAAGTCCAAATAGGCTTGGCATCAAATAATTATACTGTTGGTCTATTCCTTGATATTTCGGCAGCTTATGATAGTGTAAATATATATCTTCTATACTCCAAATTAGCCAATATTGGCATTTCAATAGAGCTATGCAACCTTATCTATGCATTTCTAAATAACAGATCCATTTCAGTCTCAGATAACTGTGGTCAAAGTCATGGACCACGAACTTCCAATCAAGGACTTCCTCAGGGATCTCCCCTTAGCCCGATTTTGTTTAATCTCTATATGTTATCTTTATTCAATATTATACCAAAAACCTTTAAATTAATACAATACGCGGATGACATTGTAATTTTGGTTAGTGGAGAGAATGTCTTCAATATTACTATAGAAATAAACTCTTTATTGGTTGCTTTTAAAGACTGGCTCGATGAGCACAATTTCAACTTGTCTATAACTAAATCATCGGCTCTCCTTTTTTCAAAAGGTCCTATTAAATTAATCCTTCCAAAAATTAAATTTAATGATACAATCATTCACTGGTCAGATTCATTCAAATATTTAGGCATTTACATTCATAAACACTTAAAATGGAATGTACATATAAATTACATTGAGCAAAAAATTAACAGAGGTTTAAATGTCATGCGAGCTCTTTGTGGTACGTGGTGGGGCAGTGATCCAAAAATCCTTCGCATAATACATAACGCTATCATCTTAAGTCATATAGATTATGGATGCCAGGTAATTTCTCCATGTCCGAAGTACCTTCAGAAGAAGTTGGACAGGCTACAATATCAGAGCTTACGTGTCATCACTGGTTGTATGAAATCAACCCCAATTTATGCTTTGCAAGCAGAGAGCGGGGATATCCCCTTAAACTTAAGAAGAGACTGGCTTTGTTATAAATTTCTTTTAAAAAATCTTGCATTGGAAAATAACCCTGTCATCAATTCGTTAAAACATTTGGAAACACTAAATAAAGAAAGAAATGTTTACAAAAAGGTAATTGACACTCCAGTATTATTAAGTTTAATGAACCAAATGGATGAGTTCCTTCCGAATATGTATTCTAATGAATTGCTGCCATGCCATGAATTTGAATTGGACATCCAACTCTCTTCAATTCCAGTTTTAAATCTTAGATCAATTAGGGATGACACTTATGGATTATCCATTTTTACTGACACAATAAACGAGCTACCCGGTTACACAAAATTCTTCACCGACGGATCTGTGGGACCTTCTAATGATTCAGGCTTCGGTGTATTTTCTCCAGACCTCAATTACGTGTTTTCAAGCAGACTACCTCAACAAACACAAATATGTACTGCAGAAATTATTGCAATTAACCATGCCTTGCAAATCATTTTAGAAAAAAATATATTGAACTCAGTTATCTTCTCGGACTCCAAATCTGCTTTACAAAAAATTGGAAATATGAAATTCTCTACAGAAACTGATCATTGCTCCTTTCTAACAAAACAAGGTATCTTACTTGCTAATATGAATAACATCCACATCACTTTGGCATGGATTCCAGGTCACTCCGGCATTATTGGCAACCATAAAGCCGATCAATTAGCAAATATAGGCAGAATCCTTAAAATTCCTTTAAATATTAAACTCAATAAGTCTAACTTTTTACCCTTCATTAAACAAGAAATTTGGAACAAATGGCATCAACAGTGGAATTCACTAAAAGAAAACAAAACATCTTTTTACTTCCAAGTGGTTCCTAAAATACCCAAAACTCCGTGGTTCAATAGTAAACAATTCTATGAAAGAAGGTACCTTTCCACAATCATACGGATGAGAACTGGCCATTGTCTAACCCCATATCACTTATTTCGAATTGGTATTAAAGATGACCCATTTTGCGAGTGTGGAGAAGTTGGATCGTTAAATCACATCATCTTAGAGTGTCCCATTAATAAATCTCCCCTTTTTGATGTATATTTGGAACTAACGAAGGCTGGTTTATCAGCCCCATTTGATATTCGATACATCTTGTCTCATTTGGATGATAGAAGAATAACCACCCTTTCTAAATTTCTAAATTTCTTTAAAATCATTATCTAGTAGAAGCAAATCAACTATATCTGGGTAAATTGTTCGCAGTAACATAGCCCAAAAAAAGAAAAGAAGAAGAAGAAATTTTAAATTGAAATGAATTGATTCAACTTTTATTTTTTTATGTTAGATGTTTAGCCGAAGAAGAAAATGATCGTTATACGGCTACACAATTATTAAGTCATTCATTTTTCCATAAACCTTTGATTACATTTTCACCAAAACATGCCAACGAAGAAATCGAATTACAAAGTAATGTTTCTCCTGAGATAAACCAAACTGATTTACAAGATTTATCAAATAGTTTAACAAATAGCCAATCAAGAATAAACAATGAATTCGAATTTCTGCAACATCTCGGCAAAGGAGCTTACGGCGATGTTATAAAAGTAACACATCAAGCTTCAATTTTAAAATTTAAATAATCTCACATTATTTTCAGGTTAAAAATAAATTAGATGGAGGCTACTATGCAATCAAACGTATTCAGTTGAATCCCAAAAATAGAGCCTTGAACAAGAAAATTGTTAGGGAAGTTAAGCTGCTCTCTAGATTGAATCATGAAAACGTTGTACGGTATTTTAATTCTTGGATTGAAACTACAACTATTAAAGATGACACCAACTCCATGTCAAGCACTTTCTCTACAGAAGAAAGAATACCAAAAATTATAAGAAAAACTGAGGTAAAAATCAAAATAAGTAATAGTTTATGAAATTTTCATTTAAGATAAATGACGGTAAACTCTTAAACACATTGAAATAAATATTTTTTCCAAGGCTATAATATAAAACAACACTTTCTCATTATTTTTGATTAGGAAATGGGCTATATTTCGTTATTTTATAATTATGATAAAAAGCAATCATTTCCGAATCAAATCCTAATCTGACAACACAAAGTAGTCATTCTCTATTTATTTAAAAAAAAAATCATGTGACATGACATTATTACTAAGCATTAGAAAATGGACAAAAATATGAAAAAAACCAATGATATATATAGTTATATAGATTGATCAATCATATGTAAATCAGACGAAGAAAACCAGGTTTCGGTGGGCAAACTTTTCTAATACAGTTGTGTGTACTTGGTTGTAAATAAATCATTTACATGACCGGTTTAGAAATTAGAAGGTTTATGTTGGCTAAAATTGACATTTACATTGTACATTAGTACTAAAAGTTTGGTAGAACTTTTAGACGAATCTGCTTTTTTTTCTCTAGATGTATCTTTGTATACCGTATTTTGTTTTCTTATATGCAGATTTTCGCAAGGGAAATGACATTATGTCTGTGAAGAACACTTGCGTTTCCATTTGTTTTATTTTAAATTCATTAAATTATTCACACTCGTCTACGAAATAAACCATAATTAAATCAATTGTCAAAAGAGATTGCAATAAACTTTAAAATTGTAAAAAATCTAGTGGCTTTAGTAAAATAAGTGTGGTCTAAAATTAGTAACATATAGAGCCAAATTTATTTGTATCTCTTATAAAAGCAATTTACATTCCTTTTCAAAGTTGTATTATATTTTACAATTAGTTTTTTTTTTTATATAGTGTTATTTCTGAAACAAGAGTGATCTAAAATTGTTTACATCTATTATCAAAATTGTTTAAATCTCTCAATATTTTTTGTCTACATGGAAATTCGACTTTAAAACACAAAAAATATATTTTTCAAAATATCTAGCCTTGAAATGAATATTTAGGAAATTATTTTTTTAATATATTCAAAAGGTTGAAATTTGATTTTTAAACACATTTGGGATAGACGGCTTCTGGTCAGTGAATACTGGACAGGGCAATATGGCCGCGTGCCAGAGCTGGGACGAATCCTCGAAAAATTGATTCGAATCACGGATCCTATGTCCGAATCCTTTTTGCAATAAAAAAGGATTCGAATCAAGTGATTCAAATCCATTTTCCATTTCACAAATACGAATCACTGTCAGTGTCATACCATGGTATTATGTATGCTTTCGAATCTAATATCAATATCAACTATGTGTCTATTATGGACTATGACTTCCATACAAATGATTGATACAAGAAGATGTTGAAAAAAATAAACTTATTTTTTTTTATAAATATGAACCATAAAAAAATTACAAAAAAAATATTTTATTTTAATACAAAAAACAAAGTAAACAAACAATGAAATAAAAATGTCTTGGTTGGCCTTACATAGCACCAAAATTTCAAAGCCATTCCTTTGAGGTGCGTCGATTATACCTGCAAACAAAAATAATCGTTAGACAGCACCAGACGAAGAAAGGCAAGTGTTAAATTTTAGGATTTTTTTATGTTGGATATTCATTGCTGTTTTGTAATGTCAAAGAAGGCAGCTGAGCACCTAGGCAATTTTGAGTTGAAACATATGCCAATAATATACCATAAGGTATTTTAAAGCTATTTTTATGCTACTCGTTTTTTGCAAAATTCAAGGTGCTCTGCTAGCTTCGAACGGGGTCAGCAGAGCACTTCATTTTTTAAGTTTTTTTTCCAAAAACAACGATACAATATTTTTAGGATCTTAAAATATTATTTTAAAAAAATAAAGGATGCTTTGCTAGCTTCAAACGAAGCAAGCAAAGCACATTTGTTCCAACAAAGCACCCTGTATTTTTAAAAAAACACTATTTTTTTCGAAAAGTTTTATATTTTAGGAGCCTAAAAATAGCTTAAACATGTGACAAGTAGATGTTTCCAGAAAAAAAAAAATAATAAACCGAGGTGCTCTGCTAACTTTGTTCCAACAAAGCACCCTGTATTATTTAAAAATAGCAATTTTTAGTAAAGTTTTATAATATTTCAAGAGCCTAAAAATAACCTAAAAATACAGTGTGGTTGTTTTTAAAAAAAAAAGCTTTAAAAAACCGAGGTTCTCCGCTGGGTTCGTTCAAAGCTAGCAGAGAACCAGATAAATTTTTGAATAGGGTATAAAAATAGCCTAAAAGTATGGCATAGGTTTCAACTCATAATTGTCTAAGTGCTCTGCTGCCTTCTTTGACATTCATTTGTAGATTTTTACGTTTATCTTCTAAATAATATTAATCGGTCTTTAGTCTCAGTCTATTTCACAAAGTCAAAGCGTGAGTCAACCGTTCGCGCCGGCGTAGTTTGGTCTCTAAAAGGATCCGAGAATAATATTGGTGATTCGAATACGAATCCTTAAGAATTTCCTCGGTGAATCCGGATCACGGATCCTTTTTTTCTTAAGGATTTAAATACCGCTCGCGGATCCTCAAAAAGGATTCGAATCCCGGGATTCGAATCCCACTCAGCTCTGCCTCGTGCATTGCGACCCCATTTTCGTCGTCTTATTTACATAAGGGTGAATATAACTATAGGAAAAAACCAATAAAGTAATACATGATTTACCACTCATTAATATTTCTTATTAAAATGTCGTTAACATTAATTTTATTTATTGAAAGAAAATGTGTGACTTTTGTTTTAGTGGATATGATGGCCATATCACATATCGAACGAATTTGAGCACGACGCCGTAGGCGGAGTGCTCAATCGTCTGAGTGCGATGTGGACAATCCACTCGAGTTGTACAATATTTTTTCTACGACCCACTAACGAAAATTTACAAATAAAAAAAATATTTTGTTATTAAGACAAAATAACTAATTTTAAAATAATTTATGACTTTTTATAATTTTTAAAATAAAATAAACGAAAAAGAGTTCATTTCATTCTTTCCCATCCGAGAATCGAACTCGATTCTTCCACAGGACCACCGACTCTTTTATTTTTGTTGCTTTAATACTCGTAATTAAATTGACTTCATATAGTTTTATTTAAATTAACAAATTATTTATAATTATAAACGAAAAAAACAAATGCTATTATTTATCGTTTCTACACAAGAATAACCCATTTTAGCAGGAGTTGTGTTTCATTCTTTTTTCACCTGTACATGCGAACTGCAATATACTATTCAGTTCGACACACACCAAAGCGGGACCGAAAGTTTGATCTTGCCAGCACTGTATATTGTCGACTTACAAGCAAAACACACTAAGTCAGATTTGATGAAAAATCTATTAGTCACTTAACAAAGTAATGGTATTATGGACTTAATGAATATGAAAATAATTTAAAAATAAGGTTATAATTCTTAGAGGACATAGTGGATTTTACCAGTATATAGAGCAAAAAAAATCCAGTCAACGTATATCGACTAAATCCACATACCACATATGCTGCTTTATGTGATTTGATGAAAAAACATTTTCCAGAAATAAAGTGCAAACAAATAAATTCAAAACATCCTAATGTCTACAGTTCATTCAAGGTAATAATTTGGGCCTCAAACTTTAAAAAAGCCATGGATGCTAATTTCTGGCCTTATAAAGCATGTATTAGTCGTTTTTTATTTCTACGCCAGAGAAACAATCCCAACAACACTTAATTTTTAATCCACAACTACTCTTGCTAAATATTAATACCATTAATAATGACAAAATTAATTTTCTTGACAATGACATTGATCTTCTTAAAGATCTCAATATTTTATGTATAAATGAAATAAATTGGTATTAAAGACGATTACCTAAATTTAATTAGAATTAAAAATTTTAAATTTATTATCTTTTACTGCACAACAAAATTAAAATGTGGAGGGATTAGTATTTGGATGAAAAACTTTGATAACATTAAATGTATAGATCTGTCCACATTCTGTATAGAAAACACAAAATATGTGCTACATCTTACAAAGTTAATAAAATTGTTCATACTATTTTAAATTGTTATAGATCTCCTTCTGGATATATTTATATTTTTTAAATCAAATTTCTGAGGTGTTAGATGATATATACATCCCACATACTCAGTTTATTTTAACGGGAGATTTTAATTTTGACAAATATTCAAATGATAATTTTAATGATTTATGTATACTTTTGTCCTGTTTTGACCTTGTGCCAATAGTTACTTGGCCAACAAGAGTCACTGAAAATTCCTGCACATCAATTGATCAAATTTTCGTGAGCAGCTGTAAATACAATGTTAAGTGTTGTGTCACTAATAACGAAATTTCAGATCATCGTTCATTTTTTTGTGATTTCAATCTCTTTAAAGTTTTAGAATAGGATTCAAAAATAAATGTAGTGAAAAGAAATTTTAGCGAACATAATATAGCGCAGTTTAAACAAGCTCATTCTAATGAAGACTGGACAATTTTAAATAATATTAGTACTCTTGATAATGCATTTTCGGACTTTTATGATATTTTTAAAAATCGTTTTAATTTTTGCTTTCCTGAAAAACAAAGTAACTTACAAAAAAAAATGTAATCCTCATTTTACCGAAATATATAAAGAACGTAAGAAAAATCATACCTTTTTATTACAATCAAAGAAAAAAGAACACTATCAAAAACGTATTCTAAGATCAGACTTGTTGGAATGTTCTCTCAGAAATTACGAATAGGCAAAGTTCTGTCCAACTATTGTCATAGAAAAGGACTGGATGTTATTGGATGAGATCCACGGGAGGTAGCTGCAGAGTTTAATAGTTTTTTTAAATATGCTCTTGGTCATTTGGTCGACAGAATAATAACAAAGTCTACTAGTAACATCGAAGGAATCACATAAAATAAAGATTCTTTCTTCCTCACTCCATTTTCTCACACATAATTATTAAATTTATTACTTAGGAAAATTAAAAACAAAAGATCTTCTGGAGCCGATGACTTACCATGTTTTGTACTAAAACAAGTATTAGATGTTCTCTCTGAACCTCTAACATATTTGGTAAACTTATCATTTGAGACGGGCAGTTTTCCTCAAGCTTTAAAACTGGGGAAAATTTTACCATTGCATAAGAAAAATGATCTTAGACAAATAGAAAACTATTGACCTGTTGCTATTCCCTGTGGTCTGTCTAAAATCTTTGAATATGCCTTTCTTGACCGTCTTCTGCCTTTCTTAGAAAGGTACAACATTATAACAGCAAATCAGCATGTATTCTGTGCTGAAAAATCAACAACAACTGCTATGCTTTCATTTTACAATAAAATTATTCACCATTTGGAGGAATCTGTATACCCAGCTGCTATTTTTTGTGATCTCAGTAAAGCATTCGATTTTGTAAACCATGAGTTGCTATTAAATATATTGGAAAAATATGGAATCAGAGGCACTGTTTTAAATTGGATCTCAACCTTTTTACGTGCTAGGAAGCAATATATTTCGTCAAAAGTACAAAACGACAACAAAATCAATACTATTAATTCTGATACATTAGATAATAATATGGGAGTTCCTCAGGGTTCCATTTTGGGACCATTTTGTTCATACTGTATGTAAACAATTTTGACTCATTAATAGGTGATAATCATTATGTAAGCTATGTAGATGATTTCTCGGCTATAATTTCAGCTAAAAATACGGATCTACTAAATAGAGAGAGCTCTAACATCGCTCAAAAATTGTCAAGTTACTTTAATAGCCTTAATTTGTTTTTTAATGCTTATAACAGTGAGGTACTTAGATTTCATAACAGGCAACATAACGTTGAGCTCCTAAAGATTAGTTTTGAAAATGTCGTTCTTAATAATGGTAATGATAGCATTCGCTTTCTAGGAATCCAAATAGATCAATACCTTGATTGGAAAGATCATTGTAGAGGACTGGTCAAAAAAATTAACTCGTTTAAGTTTCTTTTCATGAATTTACGGTCTATACTTGGAGTTCGTCAATTAATTATGGTGTATTTTGCACAAGTAGACTCACGTCTAAGATATGGGGAAACTCAACCTACTCTAAAAATGTTTTTCTTGCTCAAAAAAGGATCCTGAGAAGCATTGCTAAGATCTCACAAAGAGGCTCTTGTCGACCATACTTCAAGGAATATGGCATATTACCTCTTTATTGTATTTTTATTTTTGAAAAGTGCCTATACACTTACAAACACAAAGACATTTTTGTAACTAATAGAAATGTACACAGGTATGAAACCTGACAGGCTGGCGAACTACATATACCTTATGCACGACTCAAGGTAACATCTAATGTGCCAAATTACTTATGCCCAAATTGTTCAATAGACTTCCTCTTGCAATAAAGGAAAGTAATTCATTTTTTATTTTTAAAAGAAAATTGAAAGGTTTTTTACTAGAATATTGTTTTTATGATCTCGCTGAATTTTCTATTTTCTAGTTTTATGCTTTTATCATATTTTTATTTTGTTTACTTGTATTTTGACGAATCCCATACAATTGTATTGTCTTATGGAAAATAAATCATATTTATTTATAAGTCAAAAGAAAAAATCTGACTTAGTGTGTTTTGCTTGTAAACCGTCGATATTGTATAGGGGAGCTATATCAGCATTATTCACAAATTCCTGACATTCAATTATTTCTCAGTTTAACTATAGAATAATTTCTGGACTTGTTGCACAATATACTATTTTCTCGACTATTTATACAGATTTTTTTTTTAGTTTACTGTCAACGATAATATAGAAGCTCTAGCCCCATCTATGAAAAATGTGGAAGTTTCTATTACGTATGACAGTAAATCTCAAGCGCCATACATCAGTTCGTCTGATGATGATTCTAGTGATGAAGACGAAGGTTGGGGCGGTGGAATGTAAGTATTAGAAAAATTCGCAAAACCTTAAAATATTTTGCCTTTTTTTTTAATTTAACTACTTAGTATAATCATCGACGATGGTTACCACGCTACATAGTGACCTTTTCCCAAAAAAATGTCCTAATTTGACTTTTGTCGTTCTTGAAAATGATGTTTCTACTTAGTTTTTTTTTTAATAAAACTAGCATATTTTAATTTATATCACTATTGCCAAAAATTTACTGTCGGAGCACAACTAGATTTCTGTCACTCTTCATTATCATAAACTCACTACTTTGTAGTATGGCAAAATACTTTACTTACATTATATATGTATATAGGACAGGTAACGATTTTGATACTTTCACAGTGGCGTGCCGTGACATTTTTTGAAGGGGAAGCGATTGTATAAAAAACAGCAAGCCAGTAAACACAGCGCCGCAGGCGAAAATTTTTTGCGGCGCATTCACCATTTTGTCAAAATCTTGCTTTTTTCCTCAGTACTACGGATATTCGAGATTGAGATTTTTGAAGTGTTACTATTACTTTATTACCTAGTTTAGTACTAGAAGCTATAAAAAAACTTACCATTGAAAAGGTTCCTTGGTTTATTTAAACGTAAAAAAAAAACATTTAACTGAAGTTTTTTTATTTTTTCCAGCATTTTTCGCACAGTTGACACAGCAGTTGACATTTATTTATACTTAAGATCTATTCGCCTATCCTCAATGGTTGCAAATTTGTCTATAACATCGTCGTAAAAGTTTGGATTTTCTGATAACTGTTTTTCAATGGATATTAGGGCTAAATTAGTGAGTCTGTCTTGTTGAATTTCGTATAAAACTTTTAATGCGCTTTAAAGCTGAAAAACCTCACTCAACTGACGCACTTGTGGCTGGGATGGTTAGTACTAATTCGCACAACTTGGCGACTTCCCAAAGGGACTTATTTAAACCAGTTGTTATAAGAAAATTTAACACATTGATGGGCGTCTTTTTATCACTAATTTCAGTTGTTTCATAAACAACACTTAACTGGGACTTTAATGCTGGAATATCGAAAAAAATTCCATAAATTAATTTTAGTGAATTAAAAGCTTCCGATGGAAATTTTGATGAATCGTAGTTACTAATATTAAAATTGCACAATTCAACAAATTTTAATTCGTTAAAGTTTTGAAATCGAGAGTTATCAAAAATGTCGGAGTATAACCGACGATAGGAGGTCTCTCTGTCGCCGACATTATCAATTCTAATTCCCTTTCTTTCAGGTTTTAAGCCAATGTTTTGTCTTATTTCAAAAGTGTTCAAACTGATCTCGTTTTTTATTCATTTTATTTTTAAAATTATCAATTTGTTTAATGCAAAAGCCAATGTCATTGACTTTGTAAAATGTCGAATAAAATGTCAGTAAAAGGGAAAATCTCTAAAAAAAATTTGGGCACACATCGAGTGTATTTCGATTCGCCTCTTTCTCTCTGGAACTTCATCGCATCCTCCATAAAACGGATACTATACAGGATACTAATTGATATAACATCAAATCGTGATATAGGCATAATATTATTTTTCTGCTTTGTCAATAAAATTATCAGTAACAAAAATAACGTTAAACAAAATCATTCCTTACTTTTAGATATGAATTATCCGATTCTGATAGCATAGAATTTGAACACGGATCAGAATCAGAATCAAAAAGTGCATCAACCACAATCTCTACGCCCAAACCGTCCGACTCAGTTGAAGTTTCGCACGAAATTATCAAACAAATTGATTTCATGTATATTCAGATGGAGTTCTGTGAAAAAAGTACTTTAAGAACAGCTATCGATAACAATTTATATTTAGAAAATGAGAGAATGTTGAGATTATTCAGGGAAATAGTTGAAGGTATTTTTTGGGTATTATTATAATTGCAAGTGAAGTAAACATTCAAACATTTTTAGGGTTAGCATACATCCATCAACAAGGTATGATCCACAGAGATTTGAAACCAGTAAATATTTTCCTGGATTCCGAAGATCATGTAAAAATCGGCGACTTTGGCCTGGCAACAACTAATATAAAATCGAAACAAAATGAAAGCATATTGTCTAAAAGTATTTTAGAGACTGAAAAGGAAGAGACAGCAGATGAAAGTAAAACTGGTTTTGTCGGTACTGCTCTGTACGTTGCACCAGAAATTAGTAACGCTTGCAAGGTGATTTACAGTCAAAAAGTTGACATCTATAGCTTAGGTAATTTATTTTTGGTAATATATTGGCAAAATAAACGGCAAGAATTAAGAATTGGGTAGGTAGAATTTGTCAAAATAACATTGGGAGTAAGGTTCGGAAATATTTTGGCCCCAGAGGTCATTCTACATAAAGGAATTTTTTGCAGTTCATAAAGATACTTGAATCCACCAAAATCGACAAAAAATCAATAAAAAAAACAGAATCTTTGCCTTCTCGGTCCCCTAAACAAACTAAATCCATTGACTTTTTATGGGAGCATCTTAAAACTTAATTTTGAGAGATATTGCCTGTAACTATATAAAAGATAAACATATTTTCATTTCTAACAATTTTTAGGTATCATTTTATTTGAAATGTCTTACAAACCATTAGACACGTCCATGGAGAGAATTAAAATATTAACTAAATTAAGGCTAAAGGAAATAATATTTCCTCCAGATTTTGAAGATGACAACAATCAAAACCCAATTGAATTGATTCGGTATGTGTATATCTTTACCTTTTTTAAAAAATATGTCGTACAACTGTGGATTGTCATTATCGCACTTTATCTACAGCGCATTCTCAATCTTCGTCTTCGTGAGATAAGGCCATAATTTCCACTCTTGTTGCACAAACTACTATTATTCTTCTCTTGTCAATTTTTAAGAAAAGACTCAGCAATACCTAGTCTAATATTTGATGGTCGTTATCGTTTTAGTTGGCTTTTGGATCACGACCTTTCAAAACGTCCAACTTCTCAAGAACTCCTGCAATCAGAACACATACCCCCTCCTGTCCTGGAAGAATGTGAACTCCGCGAGTTAGTAAGACACACGTTGAATAATCCACAACTAAAAGGATACAAATATCTAATTGCTTCCTGTTTCAAACAGAATGTGACGTTTGTTCAGGATATCACATACGACAAAGATCCTTCTGCGCCAAATCTATCGAGGCCATTGCCTTTACAGGAGTTCGTTAAAGAGATTTGTATAAAAGTAAGTAATAATAGAAGGTTATTTTTTATATCTCAGGTCATAAAAATTAAAAACTTCCATTATTTTAGTATTAATATTACCTCAGGCGTTCCACAAGTATCCCTCTCGGGACCCTTGTTATTTAATATACCTTATTAACGAAATTTTAAGGTCTTTATTGTTTCATATTTCTTATTAGTCACACGGAATGGTTTTTTATTTGAAGAGACATTGCAAATATTATATTATTGTTATTTTAGTCCCAAATCTCCACTTATGGGCTATTAATTTCCATCTCTTAGTTCATTTTATTGTTGTATAAAGCATTAAAATGTTGAAGATTACTGTTTGTATTATAAAAGGGTTGTCCATTTTAAATAATGAATTGGTTTTTTTGCAGATATTTAAGCAACATGGTGGACAAAATTTAGCGACACCTTTGCTTATACCTAAAAGTAAATATTATGAAAATTTAGATTCCTGTGTCAAACTGATGACCCATTTCGGAGGAATTGTATCTCTACCGCATGATTTGAGGTAATATTAAAAACACATTAATAAAATTGAATTTATTGATAAAAAATTTCAATTCTAGAGTTCCGTTCGCAAGATATCTTGCATGGAATGGCATCGCATCATTAAGAAGATATTCCATCGAAAGAGTGTATAGAGAAAAAAAAGTTTTTGGATTTCAACCAAGAGAACTATATGAATGTGCTTTTGACATTGTTAGTCCAACACCAGGTAAAAACAGTGTTATAAAATTGTAGAAAATTTTCAAAAGACTTCCTTGTTTCTTTTGATTGTATATATATCCGGTTCTGTAAGACCATTTACAAATTACCTTCCTTATTTAGACCAGCGAAAAAATATTTTTTACACGGTACAAATAATTTCTACAGCAATTTATACAGCGTGTTTCATTAGTAAACGGTAACTGTGGATATATACTGCAAGATGGTTCCAAAAAAGGGTGTTTTATCGATTTTTATAATTTCTTTCGAGAGTTTAACTAGCGAACCACCCAGTATTTTTATGAAACTTACTTTTCATGTTTACCTTTCACTGTCCAAACGACGTTATATCCAGAAGAAAATCCAGGTCCGGAATAACAAAAAACTATAAATTGTTGTGTCCTTAAAACAACACCCTTTATATCAGAATGTTTAAAATGCGTTTTGGTATTTTAAGAGGGCATAAAACATTGAATTAAACATTGTCCTTTTTGTAGTTCCGAATTTGATTCAACGGGTCACTTTTTATTTGACATGACATTTCAAAAAGTGTATTTTTGTTAATGAATTAAGAAAATGTCTGGTAGTACCTGTGTATCTCATTATAGATTCTCTAAAACTGAGACTGCAGTTACGGTTTAAAAAAGAAAAATTCTAATGATTTTTTAAATTCTCAAAATGCATATTTTGTACTAACCCTGATAATTGATAAAAGATAATCTAGTTTTGGCTACATGTTAATTCACAATAAAAACATTGCATTTACAAAAAATTAATCTAATGCCTCATTTTTTGAAGTGGCCATTTGGTAGGTTTCTACAACTCCGATGGTAAATACATTATGTCCGCCCGCTCTACAGGGCACCCGCATGTCACTATTTGGAGAAAGGGGTGGGCCTTTAATCCTATGGATTATGCTATGGATACCTAAAGTCTAAAGACTTTGTTAATTCTTCACTTATTTAGTATTAAATTGAAAATTATCATCCAGTATGAAACGTAATATTTCACATATATTATATTTCACATATATTATTCTCAAGAAGAGAAGTCTGCGTGAGGAAGCCAAGGAAATTAAAGGTAGGACCTGAATGACGAAGCTTTAAATTTTCTTTCGCGCCTGACATACCGTTAGCTTAACCATAACCTATTCAGACTTTGATAAACTGTTCTCTCGTTTGCAGAAAATGCTACTTTCGTCACTCGTTAAACAATACACTATTTTCTAATGTATATTTAAATATTAAATATTTGTTTTAATTTGTTCTGTTTTATATTATAAATTAATCAAGAGATTCATGAAAACCATCTTGTGGTATTATTTATAAAATTTATCTTTGAATTCTAATCATGGTCCTTAGAGCAAAAGTTTAAAAATTTGAAAAACCTATGGAAGAAGTGAACTTCAACATGAAGGAAAACAAGAAAATTAAGTCATTCTGCCAACCTCAATGACACAGGTTCGACGAAATCCAAACTCAAACCTAGGATGCAATAATATTGTCATTACTCAAGCCCAAGAAGCATCAACACTTAAAATCAAATCGAAGCTTGCATCAAGCGAATTTCCGCTCGATTGAACTTCTCCATACTCAGACTTGAGAAGCATCAACTCCTTGATATCAAATCGAGGCTTGTATCAAGCGAATTCGACAACCATACAACTAAAGGATTTCCGCTCGATTAAAGTTTTCCATACTCAAACCCTTTACAGCATCATGAATTCCAGAGATAATGTAGTTCCAAAAAATCAACCTTCAAACATTTCTCCATCTCAAAAAATCTTATCGGAGATCAGGACGCAACTATTGTCAAGTAAGGCAATTTTCTATATCTTTAGTTGAATGGCAACAGCTGCACATGCCCAACACATAGCTATTTCTCACAGGATAGCTATAACTTGCAGTGGTATTAGAGAAGATGACTTATGAACATTACAGGCATTATAAAATTGTCAGAAGACTGTGTATTTGAGACAAATCAAAATATCCTACAACCAAAGCGTTTGGCTACAGTTCTAGTTTTATCGACCTACACCAAATCAAAATTAACAACGTTTAACTTCAGCCAACGTTTACCAAAAGATATCCACACAGCAATCCCAAAAGAACCTGTCTTCAAAATTACGGATAACTTCAATTCTATAATTTCCTAAGAAAACGTTGTTCAAGATGAGTTGCATGAGAAAATCTGGAAGATAATCAAGAACCACAACTATATATCGAATTCCATCACAGTTGATATTATGTTGCCTTCACTAATAGTTTTATGGGTCCTCTACAAAAATATCCTACCACCATCTCTGCCCTGGTCCACCAGCATTTCCAAACTACTCTGAAATGATCGAACTTCAACCACTAGCATCAGTCAGGAACGAAAATCCTGGTGACTCAAGTTGAGAGTCGCCAGTATGTTCAGATTTGAACATATTAAATCGTCCTGTATATAAAATTAAATATTTAATGAATTTAAGTGTTTAATTTCATATGCAGTTAATAATAAACTTGATCCAACTTCACTTTGAATTCTATGTGTAAATTTTAATCAAAAAAATGCTGACTTATTTTAAAATTATTTTCAAAACATTGAACTAGAGATGGAAATTGAAATATTTTTTCTAATGTATATTTAATTATTAAATAATTCTGTTATTTTAATTTGTTTTGTTTTATAATATAAATTTAGGTGAAAATTAAAAATTAAGATTTTCATGAAAACCATCTGGTAGTATCAGTTACAAAATTCACCTTTGAATTCTAATCATCTGGTTATTAGTCATTTGGGCAGTGAAAGGCAAAAATGTAAACTAATTTTGAAACGAATAAACGTAATAATTGTTTATTTTGATGACTTATCTAGAAAATTCAAACCTACAAGTTTATGGATACATTATTCAATTTTGAAATCGACTTTATGTATTAATCATTAAGTGAATTTATCCAAATAATCAAAATTACATGCCTTGAAAAGAAAATCAAAAACATTTAATACAAATCAAATAAAGCAATTTTTTGCAGGGGCCTAGACGTTAAATATCTGTTTTCTATGTTTGTTTGGGATAAAGTTTTGATGTTTATTTAGTTCTTCTATAAGTTTAATAAATTTTGTAAATAAATTACTTATTTTTCTTTATTATAATTCAATGGTCGTAGAAAAAATAGTGTATGCAACTCATATTTAATGGCTATTAAGACATTCGTATTCATTACGACACTCGCCAAGGCTCGTGTCGTAATTCTCATACTCGTGTCTTATTAGCTATCATTAAATGCTCGTTGCATAATATACTATTAGATATCCACAATTACCATTTGTCCGTTTACTAATGAAACACCCTGTGGAAACTTATAAATTTGCATATAATTATATCAAAATAAGAATAAATAAAAATAACTTCAATTAATTTGTTCCCATCAAACAAATTTTTATTTGAATTTCGTTGAATCTATTTAAAAACTATATTTTAGGTGTTCTAATGTCAGACGCTGAAATTTTGTACATAGTTTATGAAATTTTAAACGAACTTCCTGGTATTAAAAATAAACATTTCACCATAAGACTAAACCATAATTTACTTTTGAAATCGATTCTTTTGCATTATGGGATAAAGGAAGACAATCAAGAAATTTACACTATGTTGTACGATGTAAAGGTAAGTTAACTCTTTCAGCCATAACTCAAATCGCAGTATTTTCGTCTGTCTAGAAAAAAACACTTATAAGTGCTTTTATTTGCAAACTGCATTTTTTTTTTGTTTTTTAGGAAAGTAAAGTTCCGAAATATCAAATGCAAAACTACTTCATCAGACTTGGTTTACCAGATAACAATATAAACATTTTGATGAATCTGTTTAATTCCGAATTTGAAATTTCAAAAGTTGCATCTCATTTCCAAATGATAACGAAAAAAAGATCTGGGGATGCTAGTCAATTTGCTAGACAGGCTTTACAAGAATTAAAAATTATAAGTCAAAATGCTGAAGCCTACGGAATTGAGGTAAATACCACATTGAAAGTTTATCATTTTGGGCAAAAGTTTTAAATATTGTAAGTTTCTACTATTCGCCGATGACCTGAAATTATTCATGAAAATTTTAAACTTACCTGACTGTTTGAAGTTACAGGATAATTTAAACTATTTTATTAATTGGGCTTTAAATTATCCTTCACAAGATCAAAAAACCCAATAAAATTTCTTTATAATATCAATACTACGGTTTTGGAGAAAGTTGGTGAAATCAAGGATATAGGTGTGATCTTCGATAGTTCTTTGACATTTGTCCCACACATGAGATCTATCATTAGTAGAGCTCTGAGAACATTGGGATTTGTGATAAGGAACTCTAGGGAATTATCTGTGCCTACATTCCGAACCCTTTACACTAGTGCGCAGCATCCTCTTATATGCTTCACCAGTCTGGTCACCTCATTACCGGACTCATATTTTAAATTTAGAAGCAGTTCAAAATAGGTTTCTAAGAACGTGTCAGTGGAGATTACATATGCCTTATCTTTCTAAGAGGGAGCTTAATAACCATTTATACTTATTGTCAGTTGAGAAAACGTTAATTAGTAATGATCTTTTATTTCTTTATAACCTCCTGTAAGGGAATATAGCTTGTCCGGATATGTTGGAGCTAATAAACTTTAGATTAAACAACATAAATATTAGAGAGAAACCATTATTTTCAATTAGCTTCCATCATACGAACTACGGACTCAACAGTCCTTTAACCAGATTTCAAAGGCAAGGAAATGAAATTAACAGACACACTGATCTTTTGGGAGTACTTATCGAGTTAGCTTTAGCTCTAAGTTTTTTTTTTTCTTTGTGATATTTAAGTTTTTTTTCTTTTTTGTGTGATACTTTGATTAGGTTTAAAATATCTTCTGATAATAATTATTTTGTAAAAGGAGATTTTCCGTAAATAAATAAAATAAAAATACTCGATGAGATGTGATTGCCTGTGTTGAGTTTATAACCTCGGTAGACGCTATGAAGTAATGGGTTAGCTTCCGTTATGCTTTTCAAATTTGATTTGCTAGAGCGTTCAACTGTAAGAATTTGTTCATTGCAACGTCCAAACGAGATGCACTGTGATGTTATAGAGCACGAAAATGATACTATTGTTTAAGTTTTATTTGATTCACACCACATTCGACTGTGTAGTCAAATGTTTTCATTTTGAGCTATATCTTGACCTTGTAGTTGTGTTACAAATTTTCGTAGTACTTTTAAAAGATGGTTGTAATAAACAAATTTTGAATTCTTAGTATGCTACAGGGTTGGCTTGTTTCGTTAGTGTTTAAATACGAACAGATGTACGTATTTAATATTTTCATAGATTCCGCTAGTATGATCTTTTCAGTAATTTTCGTGTAATGTTGGTAACTTGGAAACGATGTTGTCATGTCTAATTAATATAAACTATTAGAAAATCCATATAAGAAACAAACGTAAATTAGCAGAAAGTTACTTTCACATTGTATATTTCGCCAGGCAGTATCATCTCCCATCTCCCTCCTAAATTAACAAACATAATAATATTTAGTTAAAACATGGTATTTATATAAATCAATGGTAATAATTGATTAGAGCACCATCTCTATTGCAGTCTAATATACCCATTTATAACAACTGATAATTTAACTACGGTTGTCAATATACTATTAAGGGATTAAGACATCACTGTCACCAACCAAAGGAATCCCGAAGGAATATCCATTCACCAGAGGCAAAAAAATGATACAATTAAATTAAAAAAAATCTCTTAATAGCATATGGTCGAGCGGCTTTGGCAACTAGTTTTAGACTTCTAGTCCTAAGGGGTAGAAACGCTAAGGCTTTACAAATGCTCGGATTATATCATAACTGATCTTGGAGAGGGGAGGAGAGAATAATAATAAAAGTAAATAAACAGTAACATGAATATTTAAAATAAATACAAAATGACTAATAGTCTCAAGAATAAAAAATAATCAATTTATATTTAGGGATAAATAATTAAATAAATGAATATTGATAAATATAAGATAAATGTAAGATATATAAATTTGGGAAGAAAATTGAAAAATTGGCTTTTATATGGAAATCAATAATTAATTGTCTCAAAACAAAACACATGGTAAATTAATTTAAGGATATTTACCTCTAACACACAAATCTGCACGAAAACTTTACACTACACTAGCAGCTATTGTTTGACAGGTCGTGAGTAAATTCTTCTTTTAAAGCCATTTAAGCACTATGTTAACTATTTCACGAAACTATGACGTCAGTAATAATTTTTTTTAAGTGGAGAAAATGATATTTTATATTAAAAAAGTTAGTCCCCTCAAATGCAAATCCTAATTAATAATAATTCAAATTTTTTTCGAACAGTTTTTAAGAAAATTATACCAAATGACTTTGCAGCGCCATTTATGCAGTGTGTTATCTATTTCACGAAACTATGACTTCATTCATTTTTTAAATGGAACAAATTATATTTTAAATTAAATAAAAGTTAATCCTTTAAATACAAATCCCAATCTTAATTAATAATAATTCTAATTTTTTTCGAACAGTTAAGAAAATTATACCAAATGACTTTACAGCTCCATGAAATAAAACAAGAAAATCTAAAATACGATGTAGTCACAAAGTGATTTAACAATGTTGCCATTATTTTAATTACAGGTACTCTTGAATAGGTACAGATTTTGTCTTTCGTTTGGCTTTAAATGCTCCAAACTATACGAGCCCAGACGCACATGAATTGGACCAAAACAAATAATAAACACAATTTTATTTTTCTGAATTAGAATTTATTTTACTATTATAAATTCAACGGATACGATTAAGCTTATTTGATACCATGTGGTTTTGATAATTAATCAACAATATATAATATTTTTATCGACTACAATAATTATAAAATAAACAAAAAAGAAAAGTAATGTCTGGCGAAAATTAATTGGACCATCACCCAATCGTAATGATAAATATTTATTTATCCAATAAAATCTCTTGTATAATTTTTTCTGGAAATTATATTATCAAGTGGGCGTTGAAGAAATAATTTATGACGTTTGTTGAGTGATTCAATTAGGCATTCCAAACAAATGAATTATCAGTGGGCAGGTTTGGTATATCTAAGGGTGGCGACATATGGTGTATTCTATCTACTTTACGTAAAATCATGAATAATGGATTACATTTAAATATTTTATGTCAAACACAATAAAAATAATATTTAAAAAACCCACCTATACATTTCTTCATAAATTGGCAGGCTTGGCGAGTACTACTTCGAATAAAAATAGTGTCCAAGTTGCAAAACTATGTCGCTACCCCCTTAAATATACAAGAATTTCCCACTGGTACCTATTGTTTGACAGGTCGTTGGAATGCCTATTTTAGTTACTTGTCAAAATGGTTCGCGGAATGTGTTTATCTGACGATTTAAGAAATTCTATTGTTGCGGCCCATAAGAAAGGACTCTCTGGACATAAAATTACTCAAAATTTAAGTATTCCTCGAGGAACTGTAAGAAATATAATTTCAAATTTTAAAAAAACCGTAAATGTTGAAACAAAAGGTAAAACTGGCCGTGTTTCAAAGATTACCGAAAGAGATGATCGTGCTCTTCGGACACTTATTAAACAAGATCGCCGATCTTCTTCTCGAGAATTGGCTGTAAAATGGGCCCATGCAATTGGTAGACCAAATTTAAAAGACACTTGTTTGAGGAGAATGAAAAAAATGGGATATGGATTCTACAAGGTAAGTTTTTACAAGAAACACTTATCTCATCTTAAATATTCAAATTTATCATCTCACTTTAGGCAAAGGAAAATCCACTTCTCACAGAGAAACAAAAAAGAACCCGATTGTTATGGGCAAAAGAGTACCGAAACTGGGTTCAACGTCAATGGGATTCAGTTATCTGGAGTGATGAAGCTAAGTTTGAGGTCTGTGTTGGCGATACACGAAGCAGAGTTATCCGAATGCCAGGAGAAGAATATCACAAAGATTGCCTCAAAAGAAAGGTTAAGTTCCCGGCATCTGTGATGGTCTGGGGCTGTATGTCCTCACAAGGAGTTGGACATCTCCTTTTCATTGATGGCACTGTCAATGCTATAAAGTACAAAAGTATTTTACAAGAAGAATTGTTGCCTTCCATTAATGAAATTCAACTGCCAGATGGAGAATTTATATTTCAACAAGATGGCGCAGCCTGCCATACAGCGAAATCCATAACATCATGGTTTCAGGAAATGAATATTCCTGTTTTAAACTGGCCTTCAAGCAGTCCTGACCTATCTCCTATTGAGACTCTTTGGCATCAGATGAAAAAAGCACTTCGAACTACGCCAGTTCGCACAATTCCTGAATTAAAGGTTAAAGTTCAGGAAATTTGGAATAACTTTCAACCAGATTACTGTCAAACATTAGTAGGCACTATGCCACAGACACATACTTTGATTTTCTTTTACTATACAGAGAATGGTCGCACTGCGCAGCTTTCTGAGGGCCTTTTAAAAGGAGATAGAAAACTCCGCCATTTTGAACCCTTATTACGTGTTGCCTACATCTTGGCGCAATATTTTTAATAGGTGCGTTTTAATCATCCGCTTCTACTTCGGAATTGTCGGTTTTCTTGTTTTAATTTGATAAGTTAAAACGACTAAACCGACAATTCCGGAAGCAGAAGCGGATGATTAAAACGCACCTGATATTTTGCTTGCGGCTGTCAGTGTCAGTGAATATTATTTTTTGAGTCACAGATTATTGCTAAAGAATCAGTTAGCTCACTCGGACCAGTTGAAAGTTTCAAAATAAGATCCACTCCTGGCCCTCAATTCTCGACTTCACCGGAAAATTTTCACATGGATAAATATTCCCATGCTTATATTCCAGTGGTATTATAAAATGGTATTCTCGACTAGGTTAGGAACCTTTTTCCTATGGGAATTTTGATGATTCGTATGTCTAACGTATGTCGGGTATTAAGTATGTAAATATTGGAAACTGACCAATCATAATCAATATTATATTTCAATACTTTCAAGTAGTAATGTTGGGATCATTGATTATATCGTCAACTTTTGACTCTTGTTTTGCCACTTGCCATCTTGTCAGAGAAAACAATCAACCCCCTTTTTTTAGAAAATAAGGTGAAAATATATCATGTGCTGAACCTAGTACAATAAAGCCCAAACGAAGAGTAGCTGCTACAAGGTTAACTAAAACCTTGAATACTAGCCGAAATATTGAACTCATGTTACAAAATAAAAACTTTAATAAAGAAAATTTATGAAAAAAATTTCAAGTTATTAGAGAGAAATGTTTTGGCAAAAGAACGAATAACTTGGAAAAAAATAGCAGAAACAGAGGAATTTTAAGGATATTTAAGAGTGTTCAATATTTTAGCTTCAAGTTTTTTAACATCTCATTATGTTATTAACAGTTGCTATTTATTTTGCGTAATAAAACAAAATTTATTCTGAAATAGCCTATTCCTAATAATGAAACAAAATTTATTCTGGGATTGCTTATTCTAGAAAACTTGCGTTGATCATATTTGAGAAATTGTCTATCATTTAAGGATCCCCTGCCTCATTTTTCCACTTAAACCAAAAATCTCTTGGGACATTAATTGCTCTTCTTTCTGCCTCTTCTATATTGTTTAATTGGGAAAGTAAAATAGCTTCATCCATTTTAGGAAAGGTATATTAGTAATAATATATAAATATTATTATTTGAAGTAACTAGCAAATGTCACCGGTGACAGATTCCCATTGGAAATTTGATTTCCCATGCCAAATACCAGGTGTATTTGCTCCCATACTTTTCGTGAGAAAATATTCCTAGTGGATGTGTCGAGAATACAAAATATAAAGTCCCATAGGAATATTATCTTTTTCCCATGGGAAAGAAAGTCGAGAATTGAGGCCCAGGGATACAAATTTAGGATACGCAGAAGACAGCTGTTTTATTATAGGCGGTTGTTATATATTGTATTATCCGAGTTGCGCAGTGTATAAACTGGAACATTGAGATCAAAAGTGCCGACGCAGAGTGAGCGATCTGATTCTTTAGCTATAAACTGTTGCATAGGGTTCAAAATGGCCGGGCCCTATGTTGGGCGTGTCGGACCTCTCTCTTGCGCCGTATAGTAAAGAAAATCAAAGTATGTGGCCACAGAGAATTGAAGCCGTTATAAAACGTAAGGGTGACGTCACACAGTGGTAACGCTGACTAAATATTTGGTCCAATTAATTTGCACCAGACATTGGGTCCTATGATTGAACGTTTACGTTATCCGTAACGTACATGTTAGGCCGAATTTTAAAAGTAACGAGGCAAGTTCGTATGATGGAAACCTGTTAAATTAGAACATAACAGGCGGAAAATAACAGTAATGTGTTATGAAAGACTTTACATCATACGAATTTGTCTTTATGCTGTTAAAACTCGGCCTAACATGTACGTTACGGATAACGTAAACGTTCAATCATACCACCCATTAATTTTCTTCTTTTCATTTTATAATTATTGTAGTCGATAAAAGTCTTATATATGATTGATTAATTGTCAAAACCACATAGTATCAAATAAGCTTAATCGTATCCGTTGAATTTATAATAGTAAAATAAATTCTAATTCAGAAAAATAAAATTGTGTTTATTATTTGTTTTGGTCCAATTCATATGCGTCTGGGCTCGTATTCCGAATAGAATGTTTGAGAAAACAAGTCGACTGGCGTGTTTTTCGATCTATCAACGAATGCGGGAACTAAAATCATCGGTAAGGAAGGTAGACAATGGTATTACCGCGTATATAATTTGAAATTTCGACTTGTATTTTATTTCTCAATTCTCTTCGTTATGACATCGATTTGAGAATTGGTTTCAACGTAATTTTAATAGGTTTTTAATAGACTATTTGTTTGTCTTCGTAAAAAAATTATATTTTATTTTTTTATAATTTTTTAAACTTTTATTTTAATTGTTTTTAAAGTTGCATTATTGATATTAGAGTCAGCAACTGTTCTAATTTATTTATAAAATGTTTATCAAATCTTAGGTCTTCATTTTTTATAGCTTTCAAATTCATTTGGAACTAAAATTAAATGCAATTAAACTCCCACCTTAAGCAAGAAGTTAAGAATTACGAAAAAATGCTAAGTACTAACTTGTGGAAACTTAAAGCAGTCCTTTTCTTCCGTTTCTTCATTTTATATCTTTTCTAATTAGGTCATGCAAAGTAATAAATAAAAAAGACTGGCTAGGACAGAACGCTGAAATATTTAAATTTTGAAAAAGTTTTGACAGCTCTTTGACAACTATAACATTCCTTCTAAGGGAGGGGGAAGTGATGTTGTTTTTTTTGGCATGTCATATACATATTATTCAACCCACATACTTTGATTTTCTTTTACTATATGGAGAATGGTCGCACTGCGCAGCTTTCTGAGTGCCTTTTAAAAGGAGATGGAAAACTCCTCCATTTTGAACCTTTATTACGTGTTGCCTACATCTTGACGCTATATTTTTAATAGGTGCGTTTTAATCATCCGCTTTTGCTTCGGAATTGTCGGTTTTCTTGTTTTAATCTGACAGGTTAAAACGACTAAACCGACAATTCCGGAAGCAGAAGCGGATAATTAAAACGCACCTGATATTTTGCTTGCTGCTGTCAGTGAATATTATTTTTGGAGTCACAGTTTATTGCTAAAGAATCAGTCAGCTCACTCGGACCAGTTGAAAGTTCCAAAATAACATCCACTCCAGGGATACAAATCCAGGATACGCAGAAGACTGCTGTTTTATTATAGGCGGTTGTCATATATTGTATTATCCGAGTTGCGCAGTGTATAAACTGGAACATTGAGATGAAAAGTGCCGACGCAGAGTAAGCGATCTGATTCTTTAGCTATAAACTGTGTCATAGGAATCAAAATGGCCGCGCCCTATGTTGGGCGTGTCGGACCTCTCTATTGCCCCGTATAATAATCAAAGTATGTGATTCAACCTCATTGCCTGGAATCGGTGATGATGGTGAATTTGGAAAAGGTAGTATGGTTCAGTTTGCTACACTAACTAGGTACTCGTATTTCCATAGTAAGGTGGTCTTAATTGCATTACCGCTACATCTATGTATTATGTCGAAATCCTGGATACGCACATAAGCTTTTTTGCCAAAATGTTTATTTTATCATTATATTGTCTTCAAAAACTCCGCTATTAAAGAGCTTTTTTGAAGATGTTCCGGAATGGTGCGAATGTTAAAATTTTTGGAAAATGTTTCTTTTTTATATATCTATAAATATGCAAAATCTTATGACCGGGAGCATGGGACCCAGAAAATCACTCTCCTTTATCAATTTAGACCATTATCTTTATTTTGGCTGAAAATCAGATTTTTAAATAGTATATTTTTGAAAATCAGTCGATTTTAAACTATTGTGCTCACAGATACAGCATTTTTCAATATTTTTTACTTTTTCTGATAAAACTTTTTTCATAATTCAATCTATTTAATGTTAGGCTTAATATGGTTTTCATATACAGGGACATCCCGACCTTAAGCTAATTTAAATTAGGCTGCAATTAAGATTGAGGTAAATTTACAATTTTTTCAATAATTTATATGACCAATCAGTTGATTTTCGGAATATCAATTGCCGATACTTTCAGCTATATAAATTAATTTGAGATCTCACCACATACATTACTTTGGCGCCAACTTTTTTCGGGTAAACCCAGCCTTAATAATAAAATCTGATTTTTATTTATAGTACGATATGGTCGTTTCTCCCGGTTTAGTATACAACGTTCAGCAGTATTCCGGTATGATCTTCCAGTTTGCCTGCGAACTTAAGAAAAAACATAAACACAATGCAATGGAAGTTCTAGCAGCAGGTGGAAGATACGATTCAATGATTTCATGGTATCGCTCTATAATGGATCAAGCCACTCTCTCGAGTAGAAGTGTCCAACAATCGGCTGTGGGCGTATCAATATCATTAGATAAACTGGTACAGGCTTTACAAAAAGAACAAATTGAAGATATTCCTAAGATAGATACTTTGGATGTTGTAGTTTGTTCTGTAGGAAACAAGCAGATGATCCATGATAAAACAAAGGTATTTTTTCTCCATTATCTTGGTTGTTTTTTTTAGTATTTTTTATATCGCAGATTTTGAGAAGTTTGTGGGGAGCTGGTATAAAATGTTTTTTAATTGAAACTACAAACATTGAAGAAATTCAAGAGCTACTAAACGATTTAAAGGTTGCACATGTTATAATGCTAAAAGACAATGAACAGGGTATGGTAAGAGTCAGAAGTTGGGATAGAGAAAGGTAGTTAATAAAATATATTATAGTTTTTGTTATAATAAATATATTTCCAGATTTCAAGAAAAATCATATACAACTAATGAGTTACTAGAAAATATGCAAAGGATACTGAAGTATTGGAGTGATAAAAATGACGAAAGTAATCAAATAACTTCACTTTCGCGGTCGGAAAGTCGATCGTCTTATGGGGAAAAGAATCAACAGGTTCAAGAGGCAGATGTGGATGTTCTGTTTCTTGATAAAATCTCGTCTACGTCTAGAAAACGATATGAAACTCAGGTAGGTATGATTTAAATACCACAGATTATAATCCTCCAGTTGAATCAGTCATTTTGAAAAAGGCATGAGTTCAGTATTGTAAATTTTACAGGAGACACAAAAACACTTATTCTAAGTCGTAAGTTGCTTGGTTCCAAAAAATAATAAAGATTGTTTTCATAAAATTAGATTTTGACAAAATTTATATGGGACCACCCCTGAAGTATCCACTTTCTAACAAAAAAAGAATTGTAGAAACCGGACACCGTACCGTGTTAAAGAATTATCGCTGAACATACATAAAAAAAAATATGACGAATTGATAACCTCCTCCTTTTTTGAAGTCGGTTAAAACAGAAGGCATGATATTACGCAGATTGATACTACGTCACGGTGACGTATTGTGATGGGAAGGCATGTCTTTTATGAATTTGAGGTATAAGTGATAGAAAATAAATTTTTTCTACACCCACATGGATATTAGCTCATCTACGCACAGATTACAATACGAAAAAATATGCATATGCCTTCAACTGAACGAATATATTTCATATCCATTCTAGGTAGTGATAACACTGCAAAAAAATGAAATCCACCAATCACAGTTCATATTTTGATCAACCGACTGCTATTATTTTTAAAATTTTAAATAAGTGACAATTCTGTCAAACTAATTGTCAGTATATTTTTTAGTTATTGAGATTAAACATACATTAAAATGAGTTATTCTTGTGTAGAATCGATAAATAATAGAATTTATATTTTTATTTCGTCTATAATTATAAATAATGTGTTAATTTATATAAAATTATATGAAGTCAATTTAATTAAGAGTATTAAAGCAAAAAAAAAATAAACGCGTAAATGGTCCTGTGGTCAGGGTTCTTGTCTTCCATACAGAAGACTCGAGTTCAAATCTCAGATGGAGAAAAATTTTTGTTTATTTTATAAATTAGTAAAAGTCATAAATTATTTTTCCATTAATAATTTTATTTTAATAACCTAAAATAATTTTTAATATTGGTAGATTTTCGTTAGTGGGTCGTAGAAAAAATATACTGTACAACTCGAGTGGATTATCCTTATCGCACTTAGACGATTGAGCACTTCGCCTACGGCGTCGTGCTCAAATTTCGTCTTCGTGCGATATGGCCATCATATCCACTCTTGTTGCACCAACTACTATTTATCTACTCATGGCCAATCAGATATTGCACACCACAATACATCATGCACGAACTTGACGAGATTTGTCGGCTAAGTATCATAGCTCTGTTTTTTTTCCCTGGACTTGATTAGTGTTGGAACGATTTTGATCCAGTTGATAGTTTGTCCTAACCTATAAAATCAAAATTAAAAACAACTGCTAAAAATCATTGGGCTTTAAAAAAAACTATAGTGAGGCAATACCATTCCTATGTAATATTTCAATGTTATGTCTTATTTCAACAATATCGTTCAATAATTCTTAGCCATCAATTTTATTTTTGAAAACCCTGTTAAATCATAAAATTCTTTCCTTTAATTAATAACAAAAAAAAAATAAAGTAAGATTATATCTAGTCTATTCGTCGGCTTCATCATGATCTGCTGCAATAGTAGGCTAAGTAAAATTATCTGTGAATCCCTTATGCTATTTTAAAAGGACATTAGACCTGTATCACGCTCTTCTCAAATAAACTATCAATTGGATTGGTTTGAATGAGGCATACCAATGGGAATTCAAATATTTTTTCAGATACTTCAGTTAATCCACATAAATCGCCCCGTAATATATAAAGAACATAAGAACAACAATATATACACCCCACAAAAATTGTCGCATCACTAAAATGTTTGCAATGTATGTTTATAAAAACAGGCAGTGCTAAAAAACTGTATTTCTCCTCTAATAACAGAGAGAATAAAACAATCAAAAAAATATAATTTTGCGAAAAGATGAGGCTAAAGTAGGTTATTAAATATATCATGCTAATATTGCTGCTACACTCCACAGGGTGTTACGAATTTTCCAACCAAAACCTATATTATTGTAACACCCGGTATACGCTCAAAAATTAAATTTTATCTAAAGAATCAAAGAGATTACTATTCCTGAAGAATCAACTTATCTTCAAAAAAAAGAATATCCAAATCGATCAAACGGTTTGAAAAAACTCAAAATTTTTGAAAACTATAAGTGATGCGATAATTCTTGTGGGGTGTATATTTTATTATTCATTCAGTACATTATATTACCGAATATAAAAATATTTGAAGACGGCTCTGCCTACATAGCAACAGCAAATGTAATCTAACGGTTATGTAAATTCCAGAAAAAATTTGCACACTTGCATTTAAGCGCTAATAATACATTTAAAATATATTTATCTCCCGTAATGGAAAATTACTAGCGAATTAACGTCATACTCATAACTTTGTCTCACTTGCGCTAACATAAGAATAGTAAAAAATTGACCGTTAAAATACATCTACAATTATTGCAAAAAACAATATGCTATCTTCATTCTACAAGATAAATTACACTTACATCAGACTATATCGGGCGATGTCCCTCAACCAATCACAACGAAAACACGCCCACCAGTGCAACTACTTACACTCGACTTGACAAACGGGGAGAAAGACTTTACCTTTTGACGCAACAATGTCTTAAAATTTCTCCCGTCGTGAGTTCGATGCTAAAAACAAATTTTTTGAGATGTATTAAAACCTGCTGCCTGCTAAACATATACAGAGTGGAAACTGAAACAAATTCGGTAGCTTGATAAATAAAGGTTTGTCACAAAATTCCTAAAATATATCAATTTTTATTTTCAATGAGGCATATTACAAAGAGATTTTTAATTATCTGGGGGGTTGCAGACACCCCCAACTGTTTTTTCAAATGGAAGGGTAAGTTGATTAATTTTTTATTTGAAAGCTTTTTCAATTACAAATACAATTACATTTTTTTTGTTACTTTTTATAAGCAATGTGTTGGAAAAAATGAAATAAGGAAATATTTACTGAAACTACTTTAATGCAATAAATGTTCAAAGTGCTCTCCACCTTGTTGCTGACAATATCCTAATCGATTATAAATAGCATTCCCAACATTTTGTAACACTTCCGGCGCTACTTGCCTAATTTCGTCCCTGATTCTTTGTTGAAGCTCGGCGATGTCGTTTAGTGGCATAAACCTTGCTCTTTAGATATCCCCATAAAAAAATTAATGAGATAAGATCGGGTGATCTTGCTGGCCACTCAATTGGGCCTCTTCTTCCAATCTACCTATTTGGAAACACTTCGTTAAGATAGGTCCGTACATTTTGAGCAAAATGCGGTGGTGCCCCGTCTTGTTGAAACCACATCCGTTGGGATCCAAATTATTAGGGAATAAATTCACTAAGTAGGAATCAGTTCTTGGCGCATAGTATGGTATGTTTCTCCATTTCTGCCGATTGACGTGCCCACGTTATGTGAACGTAGCTTTATCAGAAAACAGCATCCAAAGCAATTTGTCCACCATCGATAGAAGCCATAATTCATTCGCAAAATTCGAGTCTACGATCAGGATCATCTTCATTAAACTCGTGCAGGTTTTGCATCTTATATGGATGCTTTTTGGCATCTTTAAGAATTTCTGAAACGCTTGTGTGACTGATAGCTATTTGCCTAGCTGTAGTAACAGGATTTTCTTCAACTTCCAACAATATGGGCTTCTTCGTCAATTTTTAAAAGCTTTTGTCGAGGAGCATCCCTTACGTGGCCCAACTCCCGATATCGAATTTCAATTTTGCTAATCGTACTTCGATTAATTGAAGGGAATTATGGATGAACTTCAGTAAACAAACGAGCGACTTCAGCCTGTGTTTGACTTCTGTCCCCATATCCGATCATTATAATTTCGATACGATACGTCTCGGTTAAATAGGGCATTTTCTTATTTTTCGTTTTTAATTTACACGTTGAAATGCAAACAAGTACTAACAAATCAATCACATTCAGTTCAAATTGACCAAAAAAACTATCAAGCAGGTTTTTATTGGACTTATCAAGTAAGAAAAATGAACCTATACATTAAAGTAATTTTAGTAAATATTTCCTTATTTCATTTTTCCGACACATTGCTTACTATGCTCCAAGAAGAACTGATTTCTACTTTAGTGAATTTATTCCCCAATAATTTGGATATCAACTTATTTGACCAACGGATGTGGTTTCAACAAGACGGGGCACCACCACATTTTGCTCAAAATGTACGGACCTATCTTAACGAAGTGTTTCCAAATAGGTGGATTGGAAGAAGGGGCCCAATTGAATGGGCCAGCAAGATCACCCGATCTTACTCCATTAGATTTTTTTATGGGGATGTCTAAAGAGCAAGCTTTATACCACTAAACCTAACGACATCGCCGAGCTTCAACAAAGAATCAGGGACGAAATTAGGCAAGTAACGCCGGAAGTGTTACAAAATGTTCGAAATGCTATTTATAATCGATTAGGATAATGTCAGCAAACAAGGTGGAGAGCACTTTGAACATTTATTGCATTAAAGTAGTTTCAGTAAATATTTCCTTATTTATTTTTTTTTTCGACACATTGCGTATAAAAAGTAACAAAAAAAATGTAATTGTATTTGTAATTTGTAAAAAGCTTTCAAATAAAAAATTAGTCAACCAAACCTTCCATTTAAAAAAAAGTTGGGGGTGTCTGCAACCTCCCGGATAATTAAAAAGATAAACAAATATCTTTGTAATATGCTCCATTGAAATTAAAAATTGAGGTGTTTCAGGAATTTTGCGACAAACCTTTGTTACAGTTAGACTTTCCACTCTGTATACACAGCATACATTTAAGTGTAAAATTGTAACAAACTGAATAGAATTTATTGTGCAAATAAAGTTGTTGAGAAACTCATTTAATTTCACTACTATCAAGCAAGAATCTGGCAGTTTGTCTACTATTATACTGGTCTATTAGCTGTATTATTACTCTCCACTGCTCCCAGCTGTTGGGAAGGAAACCCTTCTTTCTGTGACGGCGATTGAGAAGGCAGGTATTCAAAGTCGCAGAGAACATGGTTCTTCGAAGTCGAAATTTGAAATCGTCGTCGTCCCAGAATACAAGAATATTTAAAAAACCTACCCATTTTAAAATGACTGTTTCAATTATGTTGTTAAGATGCACTGAAATTATTTTAAAAACAATAATGTATTTTAATGAAAACTATCCACCCAGTACATGAAGTTCCTCTATTTATTTAGTATATTTACGATAAATGCGAGATAACGCCATACGTCATTAGTATGTTGCAAAGGATTTTGAAATACTAATCATGTATTTTTTATTTATTACTGTTGGATAACTAATCAAAATCACGATAACAAAGTTGAGTATTTTATTTTCCCATCAAAATCCTTTTTAAAAATAAAATGAATATAGCAAATAAATACTTGCAGAATGGACGCGTAGTTTTAAAACAAAAAAAAAATTGAGTTGCACATTCATCTGCATTTAAAATGGAGCAATTGTATTCACATTAGTTTTAGATGAAGCAGGACTGAACCCCAAAAGATGAATGTCCAGCTCAAAAACTTTGACCTGTCCATTATGGGACAGTGTATAGAAACACTTTGAAAAATACCACTAACACAAAACATAAATGAGGTTATTTTGATTTTGTCCAAAAGCAAACCGGACCTCTCGTGAAAGGCAAAAACGTGAGAATTTTCTAAAATAACAGCAAACCACTGGTAATACATCTTGGTGTTATGTCTCGAGCCCTAAATTTATGCAATGATAAAGCAGCATTCTAGACATTTAAGAAAAAAACAAGTGGAAAACTCCCACTTAAAAATTACATTATTTATAAAACCAAAAAGCAAATTTTCATAGATTTAATATAGAATGGAGCGCGCGTAAATATTTTTTTAAATTCCTTTGAAAAATTATTAAAATAAATACTTTTCGAAGGTTTACAAAAGAATCAAGATTTCTCCACTCTGTTTTGTTATTATTGGTATTTCCTAAAATTTTACAAAAATCGAACTAAAAATAAAGGCTCGAAAGGAAATAGAAATTTTCAAGCAGTTCTTTCTTATATTTTGGCTCATGCACGAATTAATTCAATTTTGTCTACTTTGTAGAAGTTTTGTAAAATATTTTCTACCAATTTTGGTAAATTCGATTTCAAAAATAAGAATTTTTTCAAGGGAGTAGACAGTAAAAATGTTCTCTTGATATTTCTCTCCCCAATTTTAAGTATAGGTACTGAGGTGTTCAAAGGGTGAAATAACGGTTTTGTAAAAAATATTAAGGATGGATAGCTTTCATTGAAATGTACCTTAGCAACTGGTTTACAAAGGAATGAATACTGGTGAAATATCCTGAATTTTTTGTATGTTGTAGCTCTCAACTTTCTGAATAGTGTCCATGGAAACAAATTAATCTTATATATAGTTTTTAACATATAGGTTGAGGTTACAAATATGCATTTTCAGAACTAATTTCTCCATAATTTTTTATAGATAAGGTCCCAATTAAGCAACCTGTTCAAAAAATTGACTGGATTTGTGTTGGTATTAGGACTTTCAACAGAATCTGGTATTATAAGAACTTTAGCGTCCTATTTAGAGTTCGAAACTGAGATTAATTTTCAAAAATCGGTGGAAAGTGTCATAGAAAGGTGATTTCAATACATCATTACTTGAATTTTAATATTGATAAAAATCGCAATTTTTAGGCACCCAAGACATAAGAAATACCTTATTGACATTTGTGATGAAATATATGACCTGAAAACTAAGAGGAAAAACCCTACCGTTGTATTGTATAGTGTATCAGATAATTTCCATAAAGTAGTTTTGTAATTTATTTAGGAAATAAAAATATTTTTATTACTATTTAACGTTTATTTTGAATTACTAAATACACAGATTTCCTTAAAATTAAGAAAAGAATACAAAAAGGTATGTATGGGTTATCAAGTAAAAATTTTAACTTTTTACGAAGAATTTCTTTTTCTTCAGAATCTAAAAACCTTAAAATGTCAAACAACAGCTTAGTGAAATAATTAATATCCATACCCTCCGCTGTAGCCACCCCACTGGTTATAACCCCCATAACCTCCTTGAGGATATTGCCAGTTTTGGTATTGATATTGATCACCCTGTCCGTATTGAGGATAGTAATTGGGACCCTGTTGGTTGCCTGAATATGGATAGTTTGGTTGACCTGAATTTCCATATTGCCCATAGTTACCATAAGCACCGGATGTTGAAGATGAAGGTGGAGCTGGTTTATCTTTAACTGACTTGGATGTTACGGCAGTAGCTTCACTGCTGGGGGCGTTGCTGTTCAAAATAATGTTTATCAAATTCATAAAAGTATGTGAGCGAGACAACATATTTACTAATATTGTAATTTTTCACAACAGAAATTCATATAGTTAAAAACACTTTTTTAAAAATATTGTAATTTAACCATTGCAAGTGATTAATAATAATTTATTATTCAACAGCTGAATAAACCAACCAATAAATTAATGCTTGCAGTTGACTTAAGAAAATGACGGTTGCTCTGGTAAGCATTGGAAACTTTTACAACATAAAAGATAATATAAAAAAAAACAATACATCATAACTAGGCTGCCTAACTAATCAATATCCTGACCCTACGCACCTTCATTAGAAAAAGTAAAGTTACATTTTTTTTTGTTAGTGCTAACATAAAATTTAGAAAAATAGAAAAAGTTTTTCTGTGACGGGACATTTTATCTCCCTTGTCAGGTAACAAAATGCCACTTTTTATGAAATTACTTTTTCCCCATTTCCCGAGAAAAAAGGTGTATTATACAGGGAAAAAATATTAGATTCTAGCTATTACTTTTCCCCTTGTATAAGAGTCATAGGGCCAGGATATTGATAGACAATAGGAAAATATATTTATTGGTATACTTAGTATACTAACTCCCAGTTATGATTTAGTGTAACTAAGTTTTATAAAAAAAAAAAAACGGAAAAACTTTCTAATGTGGATCACTTACTCTCCTAACTAGCCCATATAAATAGTCTGTAATTTATATAGATTTCCATATTTGGTTTAAAAATAAAATCACATATATAGTTCATAGTCTGATATTGAAAAAATGTTTGCATTCATTTTGTAAAATATTCAACTCATGGTAAAGCTACATACCTTTTGGCTTCTTTCTTCTTCATGCCTTCCTTATTTGCCTTGAGGAATTTCTGATACTGTTCATGTGCTGTTTGCACAGAGTGAATATCACTGCCAAAATCTTCCAAATATTCCAACTTCCTTTGGGAGAAAAGAACTTTTTGTTCCGGTTCGGTGTTTTCCTTCTCCAAAAACATATCGATAATATCAATAATTTCTTTTTCTGTAACATTTTCTTTCTGGAGAGTTAAATCTATGAGTTGGAGGTATAACCTCGGGTTGTTAGGATCTTTAGTGATAGCTGACTTTAGGATTTCCTGTGCTTTAGTGATATCTTTAACAATTACATAGCAAAATCGAGAATATTTTATGGAAATACTACTAGCAATCATTTTATTCTTGGAATTGTTGATATAGTGTTCATAGAGTTGGGTGCATTTTTCGTGTTCGCCACGGCGTCTTTCTAAAAAATAAACATCCGAAATTCGCGTATTGTTGTAATGGATAAGACAATAAACTATACCTAAATTTATTCTTCTGTAGGCAATTTGTAGAACATTCGGCACAGATTTTTCCAAATTAACCAGAATTTCTGCAGCACGAGCAGCATTACCAACACCTTCTTCAAACATGGCCCATTGCAGGTGAAGATTAGGTTTTTTCAAATGATGAATAGTACATGCACGCTCGTAAACATCTCTAATTTTAGTTTGGAGCTCAGTATCTTTAAGTGATTCTAAATAATGGACAAACTAAAATACAATAAAACCAATTAAAATTATGCTCAATCCGGTCTATTTAATTTCAAAACACATATGAGGTACCAGAAACTTGACAACCCAACACCAACCTCCTGATGACCGATTTTAAAATCGTATGTGATAATCAATCATATATAAACCATAGAAAAATAATCACGCGTTTTCTGTGTACAACATGAAACTGGAATAGTATTTAGAAAAAGATTCCACTTTGGTAAATAAAAAATAAATTAAAAATGTTTTCAGTTGAAACAGTTTTTACATTATCCCCTGGTCCTTAAGACAGAAAGTTTTCCATATATAATTCACATTAGTGTAAGTTAAGTTTTATACCCCATAGGGCTGGTTGTATAATGGGCAGTTAAAATTGAATCTTAGTTTAAACTGTGGACCTCGTTGTATAATCATCAGTTATTATTAAACATAGTTTTTAAACTGACATTTGTATGTTGAATATAACCAGTTAAAAATTAAACTACTGTTAGCTAAACTGAGTTTACAGCATTCTTTGTACAACCCACCCTTAGGGTTGTTAAGAAATAAAGAAGACGTAAAAGATCACTAAAAAAGTTTCTAATATGCAATACTTTTGCTAATGAGGTTATGTTAGCTGGGCTCTTGATTATTTGAGTTCTAACAATTAATAAAACAATCAAAATACAAAATAAAAACGCAGAAATAATGGTAAAAACAAAACAATTTTACAAAAAAAAAAACTATATATAAACGTACCTTCAACCAAAATTCTTCATAGAGAGCACAGGCTATTAAACACCTCTCAAATAAAACGATAATTCTTACTTTCTCGCCTTGCTCAGTCTCATAATCTAAATAGTCTTGCCAGTTTTTAAGTTGGCACCTTTCTAAAGGTTTGACATGGAAGTAAGGTCGTTTGATCTGAAAATAACAAGAATTATAATAAAATTTTCGTGTTACAATATCGAAAATAAATCAAGCAACCATAAAGGTAATTCAGATGGCCTCTGCAGTGTCAACAGTGAAATATTCAGAACCGTTTCTGGTTCACATAACACTGAAACAGTCTTTTAGCAATTTCATCATTTGGAAGTTGTTATGCTGTTCAATTTTTATTTAAATCTGACTTGCCACATTTTACTGTGTAATTTCATTTTTATCGTTTGAAGCTAGATTTATAATCAGTCCATTATAAACATAAATGTCACTAGATTGTCTGCAAAAATCATCTTACTGAAAAGTAAATATATTTTCACTGACTTAATTTTTGAAGGATTGCTGTTTGAATATAATTAATGTACCCATTGCTCAGATATATTCTGATAGATCCAAGTTTCATTGAAGTATACAAATTTTACATTTTCTTTGATTTGTAAAAAAAACTTAATAAATTAGTTTTATTGTTGAAAATTAAGACTCTAGTAGTTGTATTTTTCACTTGAAAAAATATAAAACTGATTTGCACGATTGCATTTCTGACAAGTAAAAAATGCTTACCCAAAATCGCCAATAAATTGCAATAGTGACTAATGAAGTGATAAAAATGTTTTAAAAAATTACTTTGTAAAGCGATCTTGATATATCCGCCTACTACATAAAATAGACTTTACAATATAGATTTTAATAGGCTGTGCCTATATTTCATTTTTGCTTACCCCTTCTTCATAGTTCCATCTCGCTGTAACAGCATTCACTGTAGATTTATGGATTTTTCTTCGGATAGAAACGATCCGTTCTCTGATGGACTTTGTTTCCTCGTCAGAGCTGACAACTTTTGTCTGATCTTCGTCGCCGGGTGGCGCGTCTGAATCGGCAGGGGGAGCGTCGCTTACATCGTGTTTCAGAATTTGTCTAACTTCTTTTCGCAATGCCAAAAATTCATCTACCTCTATAACTTTGTTTGGAGGATTCGAAGAGATATGTTCTTGGAAGCTGCAATTATAATAATCTACAGTGACAGTGAAATAAGATTTTAAATACATGGAAGATTGGTTTAAAATTGGACGAAATTAAGAAAATAATAAAAAGATTTTAACACGTTAACTGAAGAGAAATTTCAAACAGTTTCAGTCTCTAATGGGAAAGTAAAATATATGGAGTAATCCAGAAAAAAATATTTCTAAAGCCTTGAAAAATTCACAAGTCTGAGCTTATAATTCATCATCTTTTTAAGTATCAGTTTGGATTTCATTCAGAGTCGTGTTTAATTATCTGGAACATGTCAGTCACAGCTTACTTTAGAAACATTCTTGTATATCACTCTTTATTTGTTCCCGATTCTAATTCCACAAAACGTTAAATATATTTATTTTAAACAATTTTTTTAATTTATTAAAATTTTGTTTATAAATTTAAAGGATTGAAGCTGGTTGCAAGAAAATTCGTGATGCTTTGCTACATTTTATTGGAGCTTAAAAGTGAGCCTTGAATAATATGAACTTCATAGTACTCAGTCCAATCTGTCAAAGTTTAACGAATTATCAATATTTAATAAATGTTCTTTAAACAGGATGTTACTATATTTTATTTCTTTTGTTGCCAATACGCCATACACTTTTTGGTAAAAAATAAAAAACAAGTGAAGTGAGTCAGTGTCTGAATAAATAAAGCGTTCCTTGGAATATTTGTTATTTATAACAAAAAAGCATTCTAATTTTTTCCTAGTCTGTTTTCCCAATAATTAAGACTCAATTTTAATAAAATTCCGTTATAATAAAGGCCTGATGTCGTACAGCATTGTATTTCTCAGAAAAATGTATTCTTTATAGGCTAAATCCTAAAATTCAAGGATCAGATATTAAATTTTTTGAGCCATATACGAGATGCGTCAAAAAATAAATTTTGCTCAAGAGTAAAGTACCTTTATTTTTGACAAACCTTCTAGACGATTCATAAAATTTGATATCTTTGATGGTTGTATTTTAGGTTTTAGACCATGCACATTTTTTTCCTAAAATTAACAATAAAAAGTTCTTCATGCCTTAAAACCTAAAATGCAATCTGATTTTATCAGTCGTATACGAAGTTGGTCAAAAATAAAGGTAATTTACTCTTGAGCAAAATTTATATTTTTTTGACGCACCTCGTATACGGCTCAAAAAATTTAGTAGCTGATAGTTGAAGTTTAGGTTTCCGACTATGCAAAATTTTTTTTATGAAGAATAATAATTTTTTGATAAAACTAATAAAAAAGTTTTCCATATACATGGAACCATATGGAAAACAAATTTATTATTGATTTTAGGAAAAAAAGTTATTCTTGATAAAAAGTCCTGCATGACCCAAAACTTAAAATACAGTCATCAGATATCAAATGTTTCAAGCCGTATACGAGGTTTGTCAAAAAATATTAATTTTGCTCAAGAGTAAAGTACATTTATTTTTGACAAAATCGAAAATTTTCATTAAGAAAAGTTGATTAAAATTGAAAATTACATTCAAATATGCAATTACACCGATATATCTGAAAAATCAGATTTTTTCTAGATTTTGTATTGATCCACATAATTACGGTAATCCATAATTTGTTCTCTCTTCTCTACTATAAACATACGTTTTTCTTTTCTTGAAGTTTGTGAAGAATTTAGCAATTTTCTTAATGAAAATTTTCGATTTGGTCAAAAATAAACGTACTTTACTCTTGAGCAAAATTCATATTTTTTGACAAACCTCGTATACGGCTTGAAAAATTTGATAGTTTTTTAAGTTTTGGGTCATGCTGGACTCTTTATCAAGAATAACTTTTTTTCCTAAAATCAATAAAAAAAAATTTTTTCATATGGTTCCAACTTAAGTAGACACACTGTATATGCAACTTACGCAGACACTATATAATGCTAACTTAAATACCACAATGGTTTGTTTTGTTAAAGTTTGGTTAACAGTAAGCTATCAGTGGAATCAAACTTACGTCACATGGTGCATACTATTTTTTTTTAAACACTGTGATGTCAATTTATTGTAAAAATCTGAAAAATTACTGAAAAATTGTTAATAGTATTATTAAAAAAAAACTTTTGTTACTGTCAGTTAAATTAAAATATTTGTAAAATATAAAAACAAGGGTTAGCTGAAACCTCTGAGAGGAACAAAAATGTATTTTTATGTAAACACAAATTTTTATTTTATTGATAGCTTAAAAATAATTGAGATACGAAAAATATTGGATTTCCTCACAAGCTGTATGTCAACTTATTTATTGACTTTTAACTGAAAAAATGCTTTTTCTTCAATTTCAAAATTTTCTCTGCTTCGACAATGATAAACAATCTTCAGCTGTAGACAATTGTTTTAATTTTAATTACTCTTTAAACAATTATTGATTTTTTAAAAATATATTTTACTATAGATATCAAATTGTAACTGAATGAGAATGAAATGCATTATTTCCGCTTATAACATGTGTACATTGTGTCTATATGGAAAGAGATTGTCATATTTTCCAAAGAATTACTGTATACATTGAAATTTGTTTTATTTGAAATATAACAAAAGCAGGTTCATAAATAATAATTTTTTTATTGTATACAGATACAGCAGAATTCCGATTATCTGAAGTAATGTGGAGAGTACCTCCTCGGATAACAAAAAACTGTGATAATTTATTAAACTTTTGAACATTTTACATTACATGTATGCACATAACAAAACAGCAAAGTAACTGGCGGACCAGGAGTTTCCCATTGATTTTGAGTGAACATTCTATTCGCTCCGTGCGCGACAGCAGCGCCAATTTGTTTTGGTATTAAAGGAGTATTTCTGCCTATACTGACAAATACAATTTTTAATAGAATTCGTAAATTAAAAGTATATATGTTAGTTTTAATAAAAGTATATGGATTTATAAAACAATTAAAACATTAATTTATTATTATTATATATTTTTCACGCTTAAATTGAAGAAAATTATGTATAATCATTAAAAATCAATAATAAAATATAGGCAGGCAACAGTATTTACTGGAAAATGTATGAGAAGTTGCCTAAGTATAATAAGTTGTCATTGAAGAAACCATTTATAATAGCGTGAAGTTAAAATGTATAAAAAGGATCGCTACTTATATTTTAATTTTTGTTCTAAAGAAAACATAGAATGAATGATTAAAACTGGTTTCCGATCAGTAAGTCACAAAATTGCATACCAGCCAAATATTATAATCAACGGCAGAAATCTTGAAATCTAGTCTTTGCAGAATGAACATTTAAGAATAAAGGGATATTAAAGAACATCGTAAAATGATAATTTATTGTTTATTTAAAAACTTTCTAGTTTCTGATGTCTACTATTTCCAGCATTACTGTTATTATCACAAAAATAAAGGTGATTTTTCTTCTTATTGTACACCTATCCATTTATTTCTTTGATTTAATTTCCACTTTGTTAGTGAAATTTGTTATATAAGTTTCACTGTTTTTTTTTGCTAGTATTTGTACAATTTTCAACACAGCAACTCCGGTTGCTTATTGTGTTGTTTTTACCTACTTTTTTGAAAAAAAGTAAAATGTATACGTGTATTTGATATGCCAAAATTACAAAATATCCCCCTAAAATGCACGAATTATCCGCAGCTAGCGCTAGTATCGCTTTTGCTTCCCTTTCCATGACTTCGCACGGAGCGAATAAGGTCAGTTAATAAGGAGCAATGACACCCATACCTCAGATAATCAGAATGTCTAGTCCACTGGGTTAACCACGACTCAGATAATCGGGATCTACTGTACCTCTTATTATATTTAGATGTATAATAATTGACAAATCTTGGAATCAACTAATTTTTGCTGTCGAAATATAATTTAAGAATATTTTTTTATATGAAAATAGTTTGAGATAAATGAATAAGCAAACTTAAAAAATATATATAGAGACCCAAGGGTTAATTCATAACAAACAGTGTGTTGGGTTTTATTTCCTTTGGCCCATGATGAAGGAATAACAAAATAATAAAGAAAAAAAATAATTTTAATTCACATTTATTAAATTTATAACTAATAAATGCACAACAGCATAACATATAATGTAATATTGAATGTATACCTACATGATCAGATTCCAATGTTTTCTCTTATTCACAGAATCAATTATTTTTAAAAGAATATTCAAAATAATATCTTAATTATAGAAAAAATCGTGTTTCTAAATATTCCTTGAAATTTACTTACATCCATAATATAAGTGGAAAATACATATATTTTTTTTTTTAATTTTAACATACTTACCTTTTGCAATAAAATTAATGCTTTGTTTATATCAACACAATAACTATCACCCACTTCTATTACTTACTTGTCAAAATGTGAAGTATAACCCTGAGTGGGAGTGGTCAACAACCTGTCATAAATGCAGGTCACTTTTTGTAAGCGTTTTCCTTCAGTTTCCCACTTAATGTAGGAATCCCACAATCTATCCGATCTAAACTCTAATCCGCATGCAGCTAAAGCTCTCTCGAACTGAGACCTGATGAATTCCTCATCTTCAGTGCGTGTGGTTTTGACATATGTCAAATAATGGATCCACAAGTCGACAGATAGAGGTATCGCCTTCAATCCCCGCTCGAAAACCTTATACAATTGTTTAATTAGTAATATCATTAGAAGGAAATACAGATGATGTGTATCAAATTTGTCATAATCTACAATTAAACTTACTGTTCTTTTTTAATTTGAAACAATTTAAAATATTAATACACATCAGCTGGTATAAACGCTGAAAGAGAAGATTAGTTATTTAGTTATTTAAAGTATTCAATAAATTTTATGTATTTGAATCCTATTAAATTGTATGACGATGATATTTTGTTTCCTTACATTTGACTCTGGGACAAAAACCCTTCCAGCGATGCAGGCTCTCAGACAAGCTCTAAGTCACGCCAGGAATCTTTGGTCGAATTTTATACATCCCAGTGTACACAGACATATTCAATTTTATCATATTCATAAAATATAAAATGAAGCTAATGGTAATAGGGTGTAAAAACATTAACATGTAACTTAAATAATATACAAATAATAAATTTACAATAATAACAATAATAATTGTATTCACTACTATAATTAATTTTTTCAGCAGCTGCTACTACGCCGAGCTGTAGAAATTGCAAAATATTATATGTGAGTTTAATAAAGCATTCCACGAGTATTATATGAATTAGAAATATGTATTTACCTCCTCGCATTTCTTTTTATTCCCCTTTCTTTTCTCGTAATCAGCATATTTGCGCCAATATCCATAGCAGTATGGGTAATGCGATAAAAAGGCATCATATGCTTCTCGGGCTGCTTCCATGTCATTCTGAAATAAAATATTGTTACAATTACCATTAAATGTCTTTTTTGATAAAATATGATTGAATATTAAAACTGTACATAAGTGAATATTTTAAATTTTTAAGTGAATAAAAATTGTCTGTACACTACCTCTTGATCAACATACTGCAACAAATAAGTCCATCCAGTAAAATCAGTTGGATCGTCATTCACAGCCTTCCAATATTTATCAAGTTCTGGCAATTTTTTAGGTTTTTTTGGTTCCTCTTTTTCTTTTTCTGCCGAAGCATCTAGAGCAGGTTTTTTAGCAGGACCCTCACTTTCAGAAGTGGGAGAACCAGGATCATAGTCTGTCTCATTCAATTTTCTTTTAGCACTTTCCTTTTTGCCTTCGTTTTTAACTGTAGGCAGTTCATCTTCTGACACAACCTCGGTGTCTGCCGGAAGTTCAGCTCTTTTAGGTCCTGGAAGTTCTTCATCAGAAACCTCTTCAGCTTCAGGTACTTTGGCTGCTTGAACAGTAGGTAATTCATCTTCAGATATATTTTCTGCATCTGGATCTGCTGACTATAAAAGAATATTTTTTTTTTATTCTATTTCAATGTAATAATATTAATCGGCAACTGGTGGTTTAGACAAGCTAAGGTTGCCTTAGTCACTCTTTATACTGTTCTATATATTTTTATTAAAATATCTTTTCTACCACACAAAATAAATCTCTGCTTTTTGGTGTTCATTCACAAGGTGTTGAATGGGAAATTTTAATTTTAAAAATTGATGGATAATTGAGAATCCCAAAAAAAATACATTAAAAAGTTACTAGTTTGATGTGGCAAAATTGTCTAGTAATTGATGACAGTGTGGTTAGGTGATCGTTTTGATTATATGTTAACCCTTTCAGCCATATTGTAACTAGAGTGGACACATAATCTATTTCAGAGCTCATATTGTCGAATGTTTAATTTTATCAAATATAAATGTTAATAAAAAAAGTACAATGTGGGTCTAAACCAGTTTCACCAACCATGTCATCACTTAAACTAGAGGATCACCAGTACCTGATGATTAAGAGAATACAGACTAGATAATATACCACATTTTGACCATAAGCCCAATGCTACATAACACAATTTGTCATACACAATTTATTTTTATTATATATTTTTAATTATTAATTGAGAATAATAAAGTAAAAAGGATGACAGCCATCTAAAAATTCAGAATATTGTTAATTAGTTCTTAAACTCTAATCATTATTATCTGGAATTATCAAAATTCAATTACCTGGTTGTCAGTTTTGCCTTCTTTAACTTTCACATCAGATGTTTCAGTCACTTCCATTTCAACAGGTTTTGACTTTTCTTCAGATTTTTCATCAGATATTTCAGTGGCTTCTTTTTCAGCAGCTTTTTGCTTATCTTCAGAAACTTCAGTTGCTTCTTTTTCAACAGCATTTTGTTTGTCTTCTTCAGCTTTTTCATCAGCTTTTTGTTTGTCTTCAGCTTTTTCAGTTGCTTCTTTTTCAACAGCTTTTTGTTTATCTTCAGATTTTTCAGCGGCATTTTCTTCTGGTTTTTCAGCAGTCTTTTCTTCAGATATTTCAATTACCTCCTTTTCAACGGGTTTTTGTTTTGTTTCAGAATTTTCAGTTACTTCTTTTTCAACAGGTTTTTGTTTCTCTTCGGATATTTGAATTTCTTTTTCAGCAGGCTTTAGTTTTTCTTCAGCTTTTTCAATTACTTCCTTTTCAACAGGTTTTTGTTTTTCTTCAGGCATTTGAGTTCCTTCCTTTTCAATGGGTTTTTGTTTTTCTTCAGATATTTTAGATTCTTCTTTTTCAACAGGTTTTTGTTTTTCTTCAGATTTTTCTTTTTCAGTAATTTCTTGGTCTTCAGTTTTTTCTACAATTGTCTTTTCTTCAGGTTTTTTAGGCTTATCCTCATCTTTTAGTTTTTCTTTAGTTTCTTCAACTTCTTTACGAACTTCTTCAAGTTTGGGTTTCTTTAGTTTAGGTTCATCTGAACTGTCAGTTTCTTTATTTAATGTCGATACACTGTCTGTTTTTACGGTCGTCGATTTATTATCAGTTTTTTCAGTTGTTAACTCACTGTCTGTTTTTTCAACTACCGATTCCTTCTTTTTTTCCAATTTATCTTCTTTTGCATTTTCTGAATTGGTTTTTACAGTTTCAAAGCTTTCATCTTCATCTACTTCCATTTTTTCAATAGGCACCTTTGAATCTTTTTTTTCTTCGACTTGACTATTTGTATCTTCTGTGATCATACCTACATCGTTAACAACCTGTAAAACAAAATTAACCCTGTATTAATATTCACATTACTATTACAGATTCATTCATATTTTCTTTACAAGAGATTCACACCAGTATTTTTTAGCCTATAACAAGCTTGTTTTTTTATTCACTACCATGACAATCCAAAAACTTTGCTGTGTTGCAGAAGTCAACAAATATTGTATTTATTATTAGTAAGTGTAAATAAGCCAAAAATAAACAAAATCATAAAAATTGGGTGTTGCTAGAAAAATTCAAAACTGGGGAGATGGTTAGTGAGAATATAATTTCTATGCCACTATTTTTGATCAATCAAGTCTTTTGTTATTAATGAATGACAATACCAGTGTTTTATTATCGATGTGGTATGAAGATTACTATGATTATTTTGTCCAGTTCACCTGTTTTTTTGTTGTTTGCTTCATATGAAATAAGTAAACTAACAACCTCTACCAGTAGTAAACCTAAATATATTATGAAAATGTTCTACTATGTCCACATCACATTTCCAAGTATTTTCGTGACAGGTACTGAAAGGGCAGTATAATTTATTCAATATTTAAGTGGTTAGCGAAGTTAAAAGAAGGTAACAGGTAAATTCCTTGGTTATTAGTAACATGCACTTTTATACTTTCAGACATCTCTCTGCTCCCCCCAATCAGGCTTGGTTCCAGCCACTGGTTCCCCTTAATCAGACTTGAGTCCCAGCCTGCCTTTCCCTCCCGTGGAGTTCACATGGCAACACTGCAGCCTGTAGCTTATTATACTACCATTTGGATGCCCTACTCCTTCAACTCATGCATTTCACCCTCTTAAATAGGCCCAGACCTATGAGAGTTCAATCACCTACTCAGACTGTGAGAAACATTTTCTTTCTCTTATCATCACACAAAAACATCTATCCACCATTAGTAGGTAAAAATCATTAAAAATATGAATCAATTTTTACTGATTTAAAAATTTATTTGTATGCCTACTGTTTTGATTCATTTTTACAGTTTGCCATAGGAAAGACAAAATTAAATTATAATTTATAATTATTATTATTGACTCTCTCTGCAAATGGTTTATACAATGCCATCCTTCTTCCTTTTACACATACACATGGTTTAAAAGGTAGGTAAAAATATTAATAATTCAGGTGTAAAAGGTAGGTTCACAATGAATTTGGATTGTAATTTTCAGGGCAAACACAATTGTCGCTGTCATGTCTTATTGATTTTTTGAATATAAAATAATTTTTTTTAACCACTTTGCTCAGAATAGGAATTGGCATAGGTGCAATTTTCGTAAAGTACAATGTAGTTACATGCCTTTGGACCATATATTTCATTTAGTTATCAGATGATTCTCAACTTTAAAATAAAAGCTCATCGAATCCTTAGTATTATCACACTTGAATTATTGTTTATTCATTTATTATTCATGTCTGGATCAAGCATCCAGAAAAGCAGTTACAAGGTATCCAAAATGGCTGCTGCAGATTTATTTACAATTTGAGGAAGTTTGATATCTGCCTATTTCACACAACTTAAGTGGTTAAAATTTGAAAATTTATTTCAGTTGAACTTTATTACCTTTTTATATAGATTGTTAAAAACAAAAACCCCCATTTATCTGTTTGAAAAATTGATATTTAGAAATTCAGTTCATGATCAAAATATTAGGCATAATAATCTTACAATGCATCTGCACTATTCTTGTATGTTTGAAAGATCTTTTTCATATAATGCTGCTAAATTACATAATAGGTTTTACCACTTAAATTGGAATGCCACTCTAAATATTTTTAAGCTAAACATAAAAGAAAACCTACTCAGTACTCAATAATATTTTTGTTTTCTTCTGATTGTTTTTTAATATGTATTTATATTTAGATTGTTATCAAAGAAGGTTAAGAGTTAAAGAGTAGCTTGCTAGCTAATCTTCGCCTTCTTTGGGCAAATGTACATTTTTCAAATAAAGACATAATAAATAAATGATGGTCAAAATTTTCAGTGAGCTCTCTTACAATAACCAATTCAATACATGACAAAAGCCTATATTTGTATCCCTGGAGTGTTTGTTATTTTGGAAGATCCAATTGGTCTGAGTGAGCTAACTTCTTTAGCTATAAACTGTGACTACATTGTTGTGTTTGGTGCCATATCATCTTTTTTTTTTATGGAATTTGAGGGAAGTTGAAACACCTATAATCATTCATCCTGGTCTCAATTCAAAGCTCAGAAATGCTCTTACACTGTTAGTAAGTCACATAAAAAGTTTACCATTCAATTATTTAGTATCAAAAGTACACCAATTCATTCCTAATAATTTTCCTTGCTCTAACAATATTTTGTAATAACTATTGACGTTGTTGTTCCCACCCAGCAGCCCTATTCACTCCTTTCCCATAAAATTCATAAAATTAATGGAAAAAATTGTATATTTTAATTTTAAAAAAATTATGTGTCATTATTTATTTAGGTTTCTTATTTACAATAACAATACCCTATAAGTACTTATGCTTAGTTTTTGCATAATCGAAAAGAGCTCAAACTAGACATTTACCTAATTTTAATCTCCGATTTAATGGTAGTTATTACATAAAAAAAAAAACTCAAAATTTCAGTGAATGGTATATAACTGATAATTTAAAATAAAACTCACAACTTCAGGATCCTCAATTATTTTGGAATCATTACTGGTTTTTCCATTTACTTCTAACTTTTCTTCATCTTTCAAAACTTCTTCACTGTTTTTTTCTTTCTCAGGACTCGAACTCTGTTCATCATTGCTTTCCTTCTTTTCGTCATTTTCACAATTACTTTCATCTTCGTCATCAGACACTTCTACCTCCATCAGCACAACCTTCTTTTTAGTTTTTTTCGATAAAGGTTTTGGCCTTTGCGACTTGGGTATACTCTTCGGAGTTGTTTTCGCCGCTGCAGAACGGGTTCTACGTACTAAAAAACACATATTTATAATTAAAAACTGTATTTACAATATAAAACTAACATTATTGACCTACCCGGAGTTGTAACGCTATCGTCAGTTTCCTCCATTTCAAAAGATTAAAATGCGTTTATACAAAGAGTATAAAACTTGTCGATTGTAATGGAATGATAAAATTTTAGATATATAAATGCATATATTTATGAAAAAACTTTAAAACATGCAGTTTGGCAGAATTATATCAATGAAATACACAAATGATAAAACACCGCTTCGTCGCAACAACTTTTACAAGATGGACGACTTCGGTTTTCGGGTTCGCGTTTTCGGTCCCTTCGGTCCAGATCGTAACCATTGTTACCAATAGAATAGTGAAAGTAGGGGTGCGTTCAAATTTGTATAGTTTTTTCGGATATTTATTTTATTGTACATTGTACTGACAAAATAATTAATTTTTTGAGGTCCATTATATGATATTTATTAAGCATTAAGTTTAACACAATGGTAAAAATGGCCCTAAGCAATAAAAAATATATTTGAAATTTATGCATAGTTGAATGTGATTGGTTGGATGTTCTGTCGTGGTTCTGTCAAATATATGTCTTTTTCATAATTATTTTATTTATGTTATGTTGTAAACCTGTGTCAATGGTTCGGTTGTCAAATAGGTTATTTTCATCATAGCAAAATTGTAGTTTTTCTCATCAAAAGAGCTCTTCATCTCCATCATTTATGTGAAAAAGAATGTTTTCACTACAAAATCATAATCAGGTATTTACACTGAATTATAAAAATTGTTAAACATTATTTCATAGCACCCTTCTGTTTCAGGCCTTTGCTACATTAACGCAATTCTCATCAAAGATAAATACAAGACACTCTGTTTACCTAAAAAAGTCTTCTGCGGGAAAACAAAATTCTGCTCAGAATTTTCTTTGTTTAGATAGTTTTCTAGAAACTGCAAAAAATTGTGATTTTTCATTTGCCAAACATTTAAATTCAAAATCTTTGTTTGAAAGCAATTTTAAAAACAATTTCAAAGTTTCCTATACATCTAGTAATACTTTCTTTGAAAATAAGCATGGATTTTCTGAGAATGACTTAAACAGAACTGTTCCTACAGTTATATTAAAGAACAACAAAGTTCAAATTCCAAATGGATTTTACCAAAATTTAGTATCTGGTCTACTGACCGAAAACCGTTTTTCGTTCAATGTACAGCTGAGAACATTTAAGACTGATAGGAACATAAAAGCAGAACTATTGCGAAACCCTCCACTAACAGACAGAGTAAAAAATGTATTGGGTGTGAGTGGGACTGAAAATGTCGACTCCAAAACATCCACATCTCCAGATAAATTAAAGCAAATGTTGAATTCTGATGAAAAACTTAATGAAACTGAAAAACAGAGATTAAAGTTGGCATTTGCAGAAGGTTATTTAATGGGAAATAATTCTTCAGGCAAAACTGGCAAATCTGCAAGATATTTGAAAGTTGTAACACAAGTTTTAACTGTGTTTATATTTTTAGCTATTATTTTTAGTCTTTTAGCTAGTGCTAGTGGATCTGTATTTAGGTAAGCAAATTTTACAAATATGTGTAACAAATTTTGAATAGATTACAATTTTGAAATTATATGCAATGGCAACATTTTGCCAAAATAGTATTAATTCTGTTACAATATACCGGGTGTTCTAATTAAAGTGTTACTGCTAAATACCGTCTTAAAAAAGTTTCATAGTTTCGTGGGGAAAATTTTTTGGCTAAAATCGTTTTTTATAGCTAACCATAATATGGCCAATTTTTTTTTTTTCGCGCAGCAAAATTTTCAAGTAGCTGTTACTCGAAAAGTAAAAGTCCAATAAAAAAATATTTCCTTCAAAAGTTTCTTATTTTTTTATGTACTTTAAAAATATGTAAAAAATGGGGTTCCAATTAAAATAAGTCCACCTCGATATGGTCAGCTATATGAATTTAGTCAAAATGTTTCCCCCAAAAAACTATAAAACTTTTGTCTGAAACTTTTTTCTAAAATGCATATTTTTGACGGTATTTAACTGTAACACTTTAATTTGAACACCCTGTATATCTGGGTATCTATTCTTGAATCTCAGGTAGTAGAAATTTTGAGGGAAGAATGAGATAATACAATTTTTTTGCGATGCAGATAAAGAGGACAAAACTGGTTTTCTGTTTCCTCGAATTCAAGAATAGCTACCCTGAATGGAGAATTATTTTCATGTGATCATTGCTGAACAATAAAATTTATTATAGTAAGGAGTCATCAAGAAACATCATAATTTTCTGTCTGTTACGTATTTCACTAATATTTGTTTATTAGCCATTCAGTTTACAGTAACTTAAATTACAAATTATTGCATAAATATACACAATAACTTAAATATAAACAAGGTATCCTAATTACCTAACAGTGCGACTTAAGTTCACTGGTAGCCTAACATTCAAAGTAATCAAGAACTTATAAATTAGAAGACAAAACTTTTAATGGTCTAATTTTGAATATTAATTTTTTCTCATTGTTAGGAATTAATTAAACCTTATCTCCGGTTGCATTATTGAAAGGAGAGGAAAATAAATAGCTATTCAGCACACAATGGCAATTTAATACGCTGTGTGCGCGCTTAATGACACTTATATACATTCTTAGAAAGAGGTTAATTAGATATAGATCACATTTTCTTAAAATTACTTGCAAATGATCTAATATTAATAGTTAGAGAAGCAAATACTGAAAATGAATAAATTTTAGGATTAGAGGATGTTATATTTATAAAAGATAATCGAAAAATTTGTTTCAACTAACCATTGGTTTATCCTATTTTTGATTTTATGATATGACTTATTTTTAAATTCCTGTGGTAAACAATTATATACCCTAGGACCTACACAATAGATATGGTTATTACTATCTTTATAAACCAGTTTGGTTGAATATCTTCTGTTTTTAAAAAGCATAATTTTAATTATGTATTTCTGTGCAATTTGTAACTTAGAGACAAGTGTACTACCAAACAACTAATCCATAGTTTATGATTGATTTTACAAGACGGAGATAGACAGCTTTTAAAATTTTTGGAGAAACAATGTTACGTAATTCATAGAATTTAAAAAATAATTTTATGATCTTTCTGGTGACATATTGTATATGATCTTTCCATGTGAGATTTTCGTCAATGAGTACTCCCAAGTATTTAATGTTATTTGATCTTTTTATAGTATTTTTACACTGACAATTATTATTTAATTGACATGTTTGGTCATGAAGGATGATTTTGTGAAAATTAGGAGATGTTCTAGCTCAAAGAGAGAAAGCCAAAAATTTTCTTGTTTTCAGCATAAACACAATTTATTAAGTACCCTGACATGACATGATTCTGCAGCAAAAAAGAAATTAATTTAATTTATCATCAATCAAATTTATGTCGCCCGGGAGGGCCACTGTAAATAATAATAATAGCCTTCCTTCCACAAACAAGCTCAGTAGGTTTCAGGGGTTGAAATTCAATCATAATCAAAATTTACATATAATTACAAAAATTGTTGAATATTTTGTCCATTTATGTCTAAATACGAATCAACTCTTCTCCTCAATCCAACAAAATGTTATGCAACATATTCAGTGAGCTGTTGATCTTTTCATACTTTTCTGTTATGTATTTTCTCAGTTTTTCCATATTATTGTCTTTGAAAAAATCGAATTTTTGATATATGGACATACGAAAAAAAATCGCATATGTTTAAATTCCAAGACCTAATTGGATATGGGATTTCAGTGTTCTTACTTGCCTATTATTATGTCATTAAAACATTCTCTAAGATATAGAATTATTTCTGTGGTCGTACGTGTTGCATTATCTTTTTTGAAAATACCCGTTTTGTAATTCCTCATCATCCACTCGATTTATGAATGAGTTAAGTATCTCATTGTGATATTGTGGAGTAGTAAGTGTGCCTTAAAAAAAATTGGATCCTACTAGTCTTATTTGACATATTCCAACACAAACACCAACTTTTTCTCCCATGTTGAATACCATTTTTAAATTACAAATTTTCTTAATAAAAGTTTAAACAAATTTAACACAAACTCTCAGTTTCAAGATTAAAATGCCATTCTGTGGAAGAAGCTAAAGTATCAACCCAAAACATTTAAATTTCACTGCCATCTAATTTATTATTTTCTCGATGGCTTGTTATTATATCTAAGGTCCTTGACATGTTAGAGTTAAAATACTTTATTTTTTAAGTACTATGTTTGACAGTTTTATATAAAGACTTCAGACTTTCGATATCCAAAATATATGCAATTTTTGTTTAACCTACTTTAGAATAAAGTAGGTGGTCTCAATTCGTCGGAATATTTTTTTTTATGTATGTTCAGCGATATTTTACTTCATTTGCCCGATTTCTATAATTATGTTTTTGTTAAAAAGCTCAGGGTTGGTCCTATAAAAATTTGGTCAATATCCAATAATAGGGTCTATGAGAAAATAAAACTTCATTTCTTTTATGTATTTTCAGCTATAATTCTTTACCAGATTGTCCGATTTCTATGATTATTTTTTTGTTAGGAAGGGGAGACCTCTGAAGGGTGGTCCCATATAAAATTAGGATCTGATAAGCTTTGAGAAAATAAAAAAAAAACTTAATTTTTAACGGCATCTGCACGATTTTAAAGTCGGTTTTTAAAATTACTTTTATAACTTATACTTATAAAATATATGACAGATGTCATTCTTGTCATTAATGCATAAAATTGCAATAGAAATAAGCAGAGAAAAATAAAACAACGATTATGGCATGTATTTCTCATTCCAATTTTGTATTATAATAAAAATAAACTTACCTGAATCACCTAACCTATATGGTCTGGAGCCATCCTAACATGCCAAATTTATCAAATATATTGAGTATGACCCATCTAATCAGAAAGTTTATACTATAAATTAAAGATAAAAATTTGCCTCACATATTTTATTCTAAACATTTTTTATATCTTCATTGCCAGCGAAAATTGAAACTTTGAAATTTTGCGCTTTTCCTCGGTCCATTTTAGAAAAACCATGTATAGGGCAAAAATTAGGATAGGTTGAGAATGAATGGGATGCTCCCATAGTCTTCTACTGCAACATAGATGGATCTATTGTGGGTAATCATAAACTAAATTAGAAAATGACCCTCTTTAAAGTGCCTATGTTCCGACTATGTCCAAAATCTAATCAAGTTACCACAGGATGGATTAATGCTAAAGTTTAAACTTTAGTATTTTCTTTTTGTTCGTTTTTTTTTAACTAGCGAAAATCGCCATTTGTTTGATATAGTTGGTTTTGTGTTGTACCTCCTCAGATAGTGACTGCAGATTCTGTCGCAATATCAACATGAAATTTTTAGTAAAAATCAAGCTTTATAAGAGGATGAAGCCTAATAATTCTGAAAAAAATCTGATTAAAAATCGAGGGTTTAGAGGTCTCTGATAAACTATATATAGTATACAGATTGCCAAGTGTTATACAGGGTGTCCTTTAAAATGTGTCCCAAAATTCTCAGGCAGATTCCTTAACCAAAAAATGGAAAAAAAGTTCCTATAGACCTATGTCCTAAAGTGCCCCCCAAGCGAGCAACAGCCTCTCGAAATCATTTTTTTTATTTTGATTTTTTGAATTTTCCTAAAAATGGAAACAAATAAAAGAACCAAATTTTGGCTGTTAAATATGATCAATAATAGTGACCTTTTGACACCTTCAAAAAGAAATTATTTCGTTAGGGGTGTACTTGGGAATTTTTTGAAAATTTTGATTATTCATAACTTTTTTGTGTTTTTGGTAATGACTTATCCATATTTTTTTTTACATTCTACATTGAAAACTACGTCAAAAAGGAATACTTGTTTGATCTCGATTGGAGCAGCCGTTTCCGAGAAAACATCATCCAAAGATATTCGTCCACTTTAGCTTAATTTTCAATTTTCCTAAATTACCTCGGTGAATCTCGTAAATAAAAATAACTTTTTTAGCTCTCTCTAAATAATTGTAGTTCAAATGTCGTGGTGGGACTATTTTTATTTAATAATAAGAAACGGTTTAAAAAAATATTTATTCTAAAAAAACAAATCAAAAAAAATTAAAGCAGATGCTCAATGTGGCGACCATTGGTTTCCACACACAAGCGCAACCGTCGCATCATAGACTGTCTTACACGAAAAAATACTTCAGGATTATTCCTAAGAACTTCGCAATGATGAAAAACTCGTTCTTCCAATTCTTCAACTGTTTCAACAGGACTGGAATAAACCAATGATTTTAAATAACCCCAAACAAAAAAATCCATTGGATTTAGATCTGGTGAACGAGGTGGCCAGTTAACAGGACAACCTCTGCCAATTACTCTACCCTCAAATCTTTCGTTAAGGTGCTGTCTAGCTTCAAGGCTGTAATGTGGTGGAGCTCCATCATGCATAAACCACATGTTATGTCTGATTTGAATCGGAATATTATCAAGAAGCTCATGTAAGTTATTTTCCAAAAAAAGCCTGTATGCTGCTCCATTTAACCTATTCGGCAAAACAAATGGTCCAATAAGGTAATTATCAATAACTCCAGCCCAGACGTTTATTGAAAATTTATCCTGGTGGTGACGTTCAACAACCGCGTGAGGGTTATCTTCAGCCCATTCATGCATATTTCGAAAATTTATTATACCATCTCTAGTGAAACCAGCTTCATCGGTAAATAGCACTTTATTAAGAAACATTGCATCTTGATTACATCTTCCAAGAAACCATTCAGAAAAGATAACTCGCGGCTCATAATCAGTAGCTTTAAGTGCCTGAACTTTTTGAATGTGGTAAGGGTACAATTGTTGTTCACGCAAAACTTTCCATACCGTGTTACGTCCGACTCCCACTTCTGAAATTAAATGAGAGAATCTGTGTAGTGAATAGTTAAGAAAGAGAATCCATTGATTTGGGAAATCAGATTTTTTCTGCATAACGCAACTCTTTTCGATACGAAAAGTCGTGAAATGTAAGAGAAGCAATAACAAGTAAAAAAACTAGTTTTATACGATAAGGTACGGGGTAGCTAAAATAATAAATAAGTAATTACTTACCATTTGCTATTTTTCTGGTACTTGTCGATGGGGTTTCAGCTACCCTATCCAAAATTGCTTCTTCCAAAGCAGGAGTTCTCACATAATTTTGTCTTCCACTGTTACTAGAGTTTTTCTTAAATGTACCAGTTTCCCGAAGTCTATCGTCAATTCTAGAAAACGTCTTAGCGCATGGAAGATGCCTATTTGGAAAGCGCTCCTGATAAAGTCTGCGAGCTTCATTGGCATTTCCAGAAGCGAGTCCAAAACATAAGTGCATGTCCGTCATTTCGCCGAATGTGTAATCATTATTGTAGTTATTGTGAGCCATTTTAAACAAAATAATAACAATACAACGAATCGCACCAGAACACTTTTAGAAATAATGTTTAACTGAAGAAACATTTTTATCAGTGAGCGAAAAAAATTATCCATGAAACACAAAAACGCCAAAAAAATACATATTTTTACTTTTTTATTCTAAACAGCTAAATACAAACCTTATGGTCTTCATAATAAATAAATGGGAACTAAATTTTTAAATTTTATTTAGAGTATACAGGGTGATTGATTAGTGTGAGGAAGCTCTGTAGATCTGTTATAATAAAAGTAGGCAGCTTTAAGCTTCACATTTTAAAATTAGTTACGATGTGACAGGGTGTTTCATAAGGCCGTGCCAAATCAAAGTTATGTTTTTTAAATGGAACACCCTGTATATTTTTATATTTTTAGAATCTGCTCGATAATCTGATTTCAATGATATATCACACTTGTTATCTAATATGAATAGTAAAGGATCTACAGCTACTCAAAAATCACATTTTTTCAAATTCAGGTGGCTGTTGTAGCCAAACAGTTGGAAATCGAGGAAAACGACTTACAGTCCCTATCCTAACTTTTTAAGGTCTATTCAGTGACATAAAATACATATTCCACTAATACAGGGTGATCAAAAATCCAAAATCACATCCGATTTTTGATCACCCTGTATCAACTAATATTTTTTGCCACTGAATAGACCTTCAAAAGTAAGGATAGGGACATGTAAGCCGTGTTCCTCGATTTCCAACTTTTTGGCTACAACAGCCAAAATTTAAAATTAACCTAAACTGCACGAATATCTTTGGATGATGTTTTCTCGGAAACGGCTGCTCCAATCGAGATCAAACAAGTATTCCTTTTTGACGTAGTTTTCAATGTAGAATGTAAAAAAAAATATGGATAAGTCATTACCAAAAACACAAAAAAGTTATGAATAATCAAAATTTTCAAAAAATTCCCAAGTACACCCCTGACGAAATAATTTCTTTTTGAAGGTGTCAAAAGGTCACTATTATTGATCATATGTAACAGCCAAAATTTGGTTCTTTTATTTGTTTCCATTTTTAAGAAAATTCAAAAAATCAAAATAAAAAAAATGATTTCGAGAGGCTGTTGCTCGCTTAGGGGGCACTTTAGGACATAGGTCTATAGGAACTTTTTTTCCATTTTTTGGTTAAGGAATCTGCCTGAGAATTTTGGGACACATTTTAAAGGACACCCTGTATATCTTTATTCTAGTTTATTCACTCTATTAAATTTTATTGTAATGTTTTAGGTATAGCATTGTATGTATGTGAATAAATATTTTAATATATTATCTATATATTTTTTTGGATCTTGCCAAGGCCTTCAACACCATTGATCACTATATATTAATACAACAATTAAACAACTATTGCATTAGATCTAATAAAAAAATATTTAATAGGTAGAACTCAACAAGTGAAACTAGGGAAGTATACTAGTTCAGAATCTACGATCCAGACTGGGGCACCACAAGGAACATTATTTGGACCAATATTGTTCCTAATATATATTAACAGCATCACTAAAATAAATAACTTTAGTGGTTAAATTGTATGTTACTCCAATGATACAGCTTTAATATTCACTAGCTCAACAGGGGAAAATACTTTCAGTATCGCGGAATCTAATTTAGAATAAAATTACAATTGGCTAAATTATAATAGGCTATCTCTAAATATAAAAAACACTAAATACATCGCTTTTTCCTCAACTATCGTAGACCAACCAAGAAACCTTACAATCAAAATAGATAAACACCAGTGCAATAAAAACATTGATTGTAATAAATTGCCAATGTGTTGAGAAAACTAACTCCATAAAATATCTCGGAATAATCATAGATCAAAATTTAAGATGGACAGATCATATTAGTTATTTGACAAAACGTATAAGTGTTTTAATGCATAAATTTTATGAACTTCGTGATATTCTGTCTAAAAAAATGCACTCTTTTATTTTTCTCTGCTTAGGGTGCTCTAAGCCATGACGCAGCTTTTTTAAATACCAATAAGGAAATAAAAAGTGACCACAAAAAAAGTTTCTAATGTTGGCCATCACCGACAATGACAAAGATACGAGTCATGACTATAATAAATTCATACGACTCTGAATTAAATCCAAATTTATCACTTAGAAACATTTTTTTGTGGATCACTCCATATAATATGAAGATTTAATTTTTCAGAATACAGCTTGGAAATCAAGTTGAAGTTGATCCTGAAGATATACATGTTACATTTGAAGATGTCAAGGGTGTCGATGAGGCAAAACAAGAACTTAAAGATGTAGTGGAATTTTTAAGAAGTCCTGATAAATTTTCAACTTTAGGAGGAAAATTACCAAAGGGTGTCTTATTAGTTGGTCCTCCAGGTAGGTTCAGGTATTTAAGAAAACATTGGTTTATTCATAATACTCGCAATAGTATTATTCTTAAGTTTAATGAATCACGTTATTTTTTTCTAAAAAAAGGTACAGGAAAGACATTGTTAGCCAGAGCAGTGGCTGGTGAAGCAGGTGTACCATTTTTCCATGCCGCTGGACCAGAATTCGATGAAGTTTTAGTTGGACAAGGAGCTAGAAGGGTCAGAGATTTGTTTAGTAAGTATGAATATTACTATTTTACAAATGATTTTTAAACTCTGCATATTGTTTCATGTATATTGTAGAAGCAGCAAAAAAACGAGCGCCCTGTGTAATATTTATTGATGAAATTGATTCTGTGGGTTCTAAACGTACAAATAGTGTGTTGCATCCATATGCCAATCAAACAATCAATCAATTACTAAGTGAAATGGATGGCTTCCATCAAAACGAAGGGGTCATTGTATTAGGGGCAACAAATAGGAGAGATGACTTGGACCAAGCACTTTTAAGGCCAGGACGATTTGATGTTGAGGTATTTATTCGTTTTATATAGGGTGACTGCCAGTTGTCTGCCACTTTGAAGGAACTTCGTTTGGTTGCCAATAAAAAAGTAGTACTTTACAATTAATTATATACAGTGTGTCCGTTTTAGAGGATTTGATGCTGATCTCGGAACAATTATTTAAAGTTATGTAGTTTTTGAGTAATAAAAAAAAACTAATAAGATACATATTTTATAGTTTCTTAGCAGTCCCTCGTCTGACTACAAAAAGTGGGAAAAATGCAAGTTTATAGTGAATTTGAACAAAAAACAACTGTTTTTCGTAAGTAAACAAGCCTTCGAAACATAAAAATAAAAAATCCCGGCATTCTCATGAAATTTGCCCCCCTTCCCCCAAAAAATATTTTTTCATATAAACATCACTGATTGAAACTTATGTGTTTATTCTTTAGAAAATATCAAAATAATTACTACAAACTTAACCTAAAAAATGCAGTTCATAATAAATCTGCATTTGTAACAAAAAAACAGTTATTAATCAGTAAATAAGCCATCCAAACACAAAAACAAAATTTCGCATGTAATAGTCACGGGTTGCGTCGCAAAAAATTATAGATATATGACAAGAAAAACACGAAAAAACTTAAGTAATTTACCTAACCTGTGCGGCATGGAGCCTAGTGGGTTGCTTCCCAAAATAAATATACATAAAATGAGAAAAATTAAAAAAAACTTAGCTTATTTACATAACTTGTGCAGCCTGAAGCCATCGCTGGTTTCTTCGCAATAAAAAATATACAAAACTGAGAAAATAAAAAACTTAACTAACCTATCTAACCTGTGTGGCCTGAAGATGTCGCTGGTTGCTTACAAATTTTTTTTACAAAAAATGATAAAAATTCAACACCCAACTAATTTACCTAACCTGTGCGGCATGGAGCCATCGCAGATGCTTTGCAAAAAATTACAGATAAAATGAGAGAAACTAAAAAAAAAACATAATTTACCTAACATGTGCAGTCTGGAACCTTACAAACAAAATTACCTAACCTACCGTTACTTTGTTATTTCTTATGGAGGCCAATTTTGAATTTTACGTAATATTATTCCCTTAAAATTACATTTTTAACGATGTGCCACGTGCCATCTTCATTTTTAAGTTGTTAATCTTATTTTTCCCATTTTTTTCTGACGATAAGATTCTTTCAACATTTTGCCGAGATTTTTTTTTGAATTCGTTCCTCTATTTTCTTTTCCACTTCTTTTATTTTATCCTCAACGGAATAAATCTTATTTTCCATAGAAAAAATATGATTTATAGAAACTAGATCACAAGACACCTTTTCTTATGAGGGAGAAATATCAGAAGAAACTTTATTTTCCAAAGAATATATATCGGAAGAAATTTATTTTTAATAAAAAACATTTTTGAAGACACCTTTTTTCTTAGGAAGAAATATCAGAAGAAACTTATATTTTTTCAAGGAATAGATTGAAGCAATTATAGAAGATGCATCTTCCGTAAATAGAAACGTTTCCAGATCCAAACCCTCGCTCTATATTGCTTGTTTAAGTCGCTTAGTCAACTATGGTTTTCTTCTTGTTTGCAATTCAATATTTTATAGTTAGAGACACAACTCTGTCACTTGTAAATCATTCAGATTTTTTGGAATTGTTACCCACTATTTACTTACAGTATCCTACTTCTGACACCAATGTTACGTTTATTTATTTAAACAGTTTTTTCAGTTTATTTTCATTAAATACAACTAATTTATATTTCTTCTTTACATTGATAATATTTATTTGAACAACGATATCTCAACTAGAACGGAATTCAAACGGCACAACTTAATCTTTTTATATACATAAGTGGTGATATGTGGTGCTCCAGACTTGCTCTCAAATATTCTAGACGTCCTTCGACTAAGAATCGCTGCTTCTGGTACCGACATATCTAAAAAAAAACGCTTTGACCGATTTTAATCGATTTTAAGTTTCACAGTATGTTTTTTTGAATTTTTGATTTTTTTTTTATAAACTTACTAAAAAATACAACTTTTGTCTCTTAAATTTTCTTCTTATATTACTTTTTTTTCGAGGAAAAAGTAAAACTAATAATGTTGGACGTCTCTGAATCCTTGTACATCAAAAAGATAACAAAATCGAATCATAGCCTCTTGGGAATATTTCTCGATAAACTATCACTCTATAAACTAAAATATATTCAAAATACAAGGTTTATTTGAAATATTCGCCTTTTTTTGGGCCGACAACTGGTACCCTACATATAGAAAATATTAAAATTGCTTTTTTTACCATGAAATAATTTTTAGGTAACTGTACCTACTCCTGATTATACCGGTAGAAAGGAAATATTAGGCTTGTACTTAAGTAAAATTCTAGCTAGGGATGTAGATTTAGAATTATTGGCGAGAGGGACTACAGGATTCACTGGAGCAGACCTGGAGAATATGGTTAACCAAGCGGCTTTGAGGTAAATTAAATAATGTATTTATTTGTTCAATATAAAATTTATTACTTTTTGATTTTACCATAAATTTTAAGAATCTCTTTATTTATGGTTCTTACACCTTATTTTTGATTTTTTGTTTTGATCTTCTTGGGATGTGGGTGTTTTTTTTTAATTTGAAATAAAATTGCAGTCCTTATGTTTTTAAAGCCTTCTGCCTCTTTTTTATGCCTTCTTCAGTACTTTTTATTTAGTTAATATGTTTCTTATTAATGAGTAATTTTTGAGTATCTTTTATCTTCTATTACTCTGTTTTTGTTTTAACAACTTATTATTTCATGTTTAAATAATTGTTTTACTATCGGTACTTAACTACTATTACCATTTGATATTTACTATATGAAAGAACAATAAAACCTGGTTTATACGTGCCCTTCACAAAAGAGATATTATTTTTCGTTTTTGATTTAGGTTTTTTTTTATATATTTCAACCTCCTTTAACGCCCCCATTTTTATTCAGGTTTTTTTTTTTTTTTTTTTCAAAATCAATAGGCTTTATCCCATAGAAATTATTTTTTTCTGAAAACATCAAGTTGATATAATTTTTGGTTTTTAACTTATCGTGCGGACAAAAACGTGACATCTGGCGGACGTTTTTAAAAGTTGTTTAAAATTTGATGAGAAGGATTTTAGTACAATAATTTTTAAATTTGCTTCATTATTAAATTTTTCGGAAGTACCCCAATTCAATATAGTTCGGGCCCTAGCCCAAATGACCCCATCGAGTTTTGTATCAGACAGACAACACGTACTTTGCCTCTTTTTAAATAATTATTTAGTGATCCATGTCGCGCGAGCGACCACAAATGTTGGTACCGCCTATAGAGTTGCCACCTTTTTGAAAAGTGAAAAAAGGACTGCGATTCTGACAGGGGTTCTGGTATACAAAAGTCCTCATCCTTCTACTATTGAACTTCTAAAAAAAAGGTCCTCAGCTTATATAGTTTTGTACAAACCATGTCCCTTCCAAAAATATGTGCTAAGACATTTGCCGTAAAAAAGACATTTGCCGTAAAAAAGACATTTGCCGTAAAAAGGACATTTTAAGCTTTAAAAAAAGACTGTCCTCAAAAAAGTACAGGTGGCAACCCTAGTACCGCCGGAAAATTTGTGAAAAACCACTTTACCCTAGCTAATTTTTCTGTCTACGTAAGTTGGCGGCATATGAAAAACTTTTTTTATTATTAATATTAGAAAAAAAATTATTCTTCATAAAAAGTCGAGCATGGTCTAATGCCTAAAATACAACCATGAGATATCAAATTTTATCAGTCTTATACGAGGTTTGTCAAAAATAAAGGTACTTTACTCTTCAGCAAAAATCATATTTTTTTAACAAACCTCGTATACGGCTTAAAAAAATAGATATTTGATGGTTGCATTTTAAGTTTTGGACCATGCAGAACTTTTTATCAAGAATAATTTTTTTCACAAAATCAATAAAAACGTTTTCAATATGGTTCCAACTTAGTGAGACGCATTACAAATATATTTTTTAAATAATCATTATATCAATAATGTCTATGATGATGAAATCATTACGTGTTAAAAAGTGACGTAATGACAATGATGTACCTAGGACACAGCATTTTTCTTGTGTTATTATTAATAACCTTTTTTAACACCTAAATATTTAAAAATAAAAAATTATTATATTAAGCAGAATGTACTTCTTTATGTTTGAGTAACAGTTTTTTAACAGGGCAGCGATAGATGGTGCAGATTGTGTCAATACGAAACATTTAGAATCAGCAAGAGACAAAGTCCTTATGGGCCCAGAACGAAAATCCCGCATTCCAGATGAAGAAGCCAATATGATTACGGCATACCACGAAGGCGGTCATGCCATAGTCGCTTACTATACTAAAGATAGCCATCCGTTACATAAAGTGACGATTATTCCTAGAGGACCCAGTCTAGGTCATACTGCTTACATTCCTGAAAAGGAACGATATCACATTACAAAATGTCAATTGCTTGCTATGATGGATACCATGATGGGTGGCAGGGCAGCTGAGGAGCTAATTTTTGGTCCAGAAAAAATTACTTCAGGTAAGTGTAGGTTTTTGAAAGGTTAGCTTGTTGCTTTTCTTGTGACTTAAGGCAATTATCCAAGTCAATCCAAAATCGGGAAGGTAACTCCAATTAAAAAAAACGATCATAAATAAATGCACAATCGCAATCATAATCCCTAATAGTTTGCAAAAAAATCGAATATGCTTTCCTTGATAGGTTAAATGATTTTATTAAATCTTTTAAAATATTAAATAATAACCAACATGGTGTTTATGATTCAAAGTCAATTAATATGGCTTTAGTGTGGGGTTTTAACCATAGAAATAGTATAGAAAGCCGATTCCATATATCAAAAATGAAACCATAAGGAGAAAATAGTGTGTCGGAGCTCATGCGTATAACGGTGCTGGCGCGAACAGGACCGGTGCAATTTTTTTATTGATCGAATAAATAGTTCACACGATATTTCAATCATACATTTTTAGAGATGATTCTATACAAAAAACGATTAAAAAAATTTCAAGTTAAGGTAAATATGGTGCTGACAGTCCTGATTAAGAAAGATATGGCATAAAATATGAATTAGTTAATTTTCGGCAATCATTAGTACAGTAGTCATGAGATTTTGCTTGTGATTTTAAAAATACTTTCCAGAAAAACCACGTGCTCCGGTTTTGACTACGTTTATTATTAAACAGCGAAATTATATACAAAAACTTTAATCCACAATCTAAATTAGGTACTATCACAAGAAAATCACTGTTACAATAATTAATTACTTAACCAAAAACTAAAATACTTTTTAGGTACCTACGTAACCAGAAAGGAGCTGGACCATTTATCCTAATATTGATTTTCTCTCTCCCTACGGTAAAACTTAAAACAATAACAAATTGCCTATCTACTAGGGTCGGTAACTAAACGTATATACATAATGGGCGGATTTTGTTTATACTTAACATTACACTCGCGCATTTAAATATAACTATGCATATAAATATTTACAAACAAAGATACTTTTCCAAACAGGCAATCATTAGTACTGTAGTCACGAGATTTTGCTTGTGATTTGACATCTTATTTGATAATATCATTTGCTACAACTAAATTTAATCTGGGGAGTGCAAAATAGGGCCCAGGAATATTATGTTCGATATTTTTTTACATTTTGTCAGCCGAGACTATGAGTCGTTAGACAGAAAACCTTTCATGTTACCATTTTCAATATAAATTAAAAAATACTACTTCATTTACTTGGTACATATTTTATTTTAATTTTGAACCCTTTTAAAAGGGTCTTTCGGTTCCATAATAAAGATTAGTTGCTGCTTACTAGAAACATTCTATATAGCCTAAACCAATTTATAGTTTGTTTTCGATCAATTTAATACAAAGATTTAAAGTTTTTAGTCGATGATAACATTCCACACCAGCACATTGCAAACCTATTTTTATAAATAATAGGAATAAACTTGTAAATCATTAATTTGGTAGTTATCTCACTCATATGATTTTTTTGTTTATATGAATATTTCGATTTCTAAATATATTTTGGCCTTACAATACGAAGCGTTTTGTATCTACCACTTTTTTAATGAACGATGAATGTTGACAGGCGTGTACCTTTTTCGGAACAAGAGGCGTTTTAACGAAGGAAATGATTTTCGAACTATCTAGTTAGTTTTCGGAAAAATAGAAAACGTTTGAAGAAAGTTGTCAATAACAGTTTGTCGTTCATGTGTTTCATTTTGATCAGCTTTCATACTAAATTGCGTAGAATATTTTTCCGATTCAAAATCGAGATTCTCGACATTTCCACAGTTTATTTATAATACCTTCTAAACTGGATTTATCTATCATTTTATATACTTTATAATATATGTTCATGCCCTACTTTTCACTTTATTAACAATTTTTTTTAACATACTTCAAAATGGTAGGATATTCTCAATTCGTTGAAATATTTTTTTATGTATGTTGAGCGATAATTCTTTACCACGTTGCCCGATTTCTAGGATTCTTTTTGTTAGAATAGGAAACAGTTTTATATACATTAAGTCAAGATCTGAAGATGGGATCCATAAGAAAATCATTAACATCTTTATTTTTAAAGTAGGTTTTTTTTTAAATTTCTTTAAACCTTACTGGTTCGAACGCGGTAAGGAATGAAGAAATGTAAATAATTGTTGTGCCAGCCAAAAAGCGAAGAGGAAGTACCGATTAAAATATCGAGTGACAGAAGAGTTCCTAAGATTGTTGAGATCGGGTTTATGTTTTAAAATGCCTTGAAACCGATATCGATAATTTCTCCCCGTCGCTGGGCAGCCTGTATATAAATATACAGCTCTCTATTTACATAATTATAATTCTTAGGTAGGTTTAGATTTGCAGACATAAATCTTGTAATAAATATAACAGCTGCCTAATACATTGATTACATTTTCATTAGCCAATGTAAAAATGTCTTTTATTGTACCTAGGATTTGACTAAACACTACACAAAACTAAAAATAAAATGCCACTTTCATCGTGTAATTAATGCCGCGTTTGAGAATCCACATCGGATGCATTTTTTACATCTCGAGCGTTTTTTATCCACATCGGACACATCTGTCCCATTACATTTACGTATACTGAATCACGTGATCAAAGATTTACTACTTACTACATCTCAGATGCATCCGATGTGGATTCTCAAACGCGGCATAAATAATAAACTACAAACGGTCCTGTAAGGGCAGCGTCATATAGCCTTGAAACACCGGATTTTAGTGCTAATGCCAGGTCAATATTGAATTTGTAGGTGAATCGCTTATTGAACATTAAAAATACGGTATTAATGACATTAATACGGTATTTGTATATATTTTTGGAAATGTAATCACACATAAATATTATTAGTTGATTATTTAAATGTTTATAAGTTATTTTGTGGCGATATTTCGTAGATATAAACTGTTTAAATCATATAATTTAAAAATTAATTAATTTAAAATTCTTTTCTGTTAGGTATGTTTAATATATTTGGCAACACTACAGGGACAAGTCATGCTTATTGCGCAAGCTTCTAGACACACTATTTTGCGATGTCAGGCGCAGAGACGCGTTTTTATGCACAGTAGGTTTCAATTTCTGCTTAAATGTTATGTTTATATTGGTCTTCTATATTATTTCTATGGTTTTAACTACCAAACAATTTATAACTTATGCACAAGTTGATTCACGGATATGGTTTGGGATTACTCTATGGAATATTATGAATATTATAATGAATAAATAGAGAAATTGTTAAATTTACAACAGTTATTTTTAATTATTATAAAAAATAAAAGCTCCTAAATACTTCCCTGAGGTACTTTTAAAGCAAGAAATGTTTGTAGTATAAGCAATTTATTAGGGATAATAATTTTAGGTGCGAGTTCAGATCTGAAACAAGCTACATCGATTGCGACCCATATGGTCAGAGACTGGGGTATGTCTGAAAAAATTGGACTTCGTACGATGGTTGATAACTCAAAAGCTTTTCATCCAGAAACATTGGGGCCTTCTACCAGTGAAGCAGTAAGTAATAATAATAATAATAGAGTACCCTGGTATCAATATCCCTAATAGTTATATTATTTAAATAATTCTTGATTTATAACTAGATTAATCTAACCTCAATTACTGGTACTTAACGATTATTGACTGTAATAGTTACGTATTCGTAGTACAGTACCTTACGAATACGTCACTAGGTTCTCTGAGCAAGGTTATTTCTAAATACGTTATACACGCTCTTCTAACATTCCGTGACTCCTACCTGAAAATGGTGAATATCTTGTGTTTTTCTATATATTAGTATAGGTTTTTGCTCCCACCAATATCTTTATGTTTAATATTTTGCACCTTGCATTGAAGTAACTTCTCTCATCAACGGTGACGATACATAAAAGTTACACTTATAACTAATATAAAACTCATAGAATCATTTACTATATTTGTCATGATAAAATATAACTATATCATAGTATGATTTGCATGAAATTACTGAGAGTGTTCATGTTTTTAAGTGATAAGGGTAATGAATTAAAAATTTTAATCCCGGTGTAAATTACTGATTCTTTGACCAAGGCAGATTTAGGTATAATCAAAAAAATCTAGCAGATCTATTAATATTTGTATAAGCACCTTTGTTTTTATAAATCAAGCTGACTGTTTCTAATATAACACAAATGTACTATGAAACAGTTCATCGCTGCATACTCTCCAAAATTGTATTGCATACCTTAAATTAGATTCAATAAACAGAAAGTAAACATTGAGAGCTGCAGCAAATCCCAATTCCCTCCTGGTAGATCTAATTACAAAACAACTAGAGGCTAGCCTTTTATTCAAACCATCTACGTGGCATTTAAACTTCAAATGAGAGTCTATTCTTAGACCTAAAAATGTTGTCGGCATGACATTCTATCGACTCTAACTTTAAGTTTGGTAATATATTTTTAAAAGTTAACAGTTTCGTTTTACTAGTATTCAGTGTTAAAAAGTTGGCCTCACACCACTCTTTAACTTTTAAAAGATCACAAACTACCATATCAGGAAGTTTGCTTGAATCTTAAGAATATCATAAAAGTGTATCGTCAGCAAATAATGTCAAGTCAGCTGAAATATCAAGAAATGCTAGATCATTTACATAAATTAGAAACAGTAACGGCCCAAGAACTGACCCTTGAGGGACACCCCATCTAACATCAAGGAAACGCGAATCCGTAGTCGTTCTAACAAACCGTTTCCTTCCGGACAAGTTAGATCCCATGCACTCCAGAGCAACATCTTCTGTAGTATCTTCTGCAGCAACAGTCTATAGCTCACACAATCAAAAGATTTTGTTAAGTCACAAAAGGCTGCTACAGCAGCTTCACCTATCTTATTGCTGTTGTATAAACTGTTTAGAAACATTTAAAGATTGCATCTGCTGTGCTAGATTTCTTACGAAATTCAAACTGATTCACTGTTAGAATATTGAATTCATTTAAAAATTGATATAAGCAAAATTTAACAAGTTTTTCAATTAATTTACCCAGAGTTGGTATGAGAGAAATCGGCTTTTATGCAGTAGTATTATTACACTAGTTTAAAGAAGAGATGGATATATACTATATACCTAATCTAAAACTTCCATTAATAAGAATTGCTAGTAAAGATAACACAGTGTCCAGTAATTTTTTAAAAATTTCGATGGATATTTCATTATATCCGGAGGAATGTTTATTTTTTATTAGTTTAAATATAACCTTTAATTCCCCCATATTAGTATCAGTTAGAACAAAGGTCAAAGGGTCGTTTAGTAGTATGTAAATAACCTATAGGTTTTAACTTTCGGCTTAAGATATTTTAAAGGTATTTTAAATATTGTATACTATTTGTTTGTTGGCAAATCTGACAAGCTTTTTGTATGTCATATTTTGTGGATATGTAAATTCTTTATAGATTAATAAATTATTAATGCACATCGACACCCCCATCGAAAAAGGTTGGAACTCCCGATAAGTTTAATTTGAGAATCAACCACATGCGTATGCAACAAAATAAGGCGGATACAGCAGATTAAAGAATGTATCTTAATCCACCTTTCCCTTTATTTGACAATTTCGCATTACTCATGCGCGAAAAAAGCGGGGGACTTTTGAATATAGTAATGTTACAAAGACTTTTTGCTATCTCCCCCTTATCCTCGCCTTATAACTGTTGTATTGGCTACGACGATTACCCCCATGTCATCATTTCTTTAAACAACTGTCATAAATTCCATATTGTAGGAAGACAGTGAAACTTTTTTGGTACACATTTGCACAAGGCTATATTATAAATGTATCGTTAATTCTTATCCTATAGAACAGGGATGGCCAACTTTTCTGTATATAAGATCTACTTTTTATAGTAAAAGTGTGTCGCGATCGACTTGTTATAGCCGTAGTCTAAGGGGGAAGAAGGGGTGTGAAATGCATACTATGTTTATACACTTGCATTATAAAGCCGGCTACTCACTACGCGTTACTTGCCAAGTACTTTGCAAGTACCATGTAATGTGTATGGAGACTTGTATAGGCTCAGCAAGTTACTTGTACTTCCCGTCGGTTGTCGGTAAACGGACCGAAGTCAAAGGATCCGAGTAAAGTTACTACTACTACTTTAGAAGGCGCGCGTAATGTAGACGATTTACTTGTACTCGAACAAGTACTTGCCAAGTTCAGTCCAAGTCAAGTAACTCCGCAAGTAACGCGTATAGAGTAGCCGGCTTTAGGTAGGGTTGGTACCTTGTTGAAAAGTTAATAAAGGTACGGTTGCTTAAAACACTGATTTCAAAAAACAAAAAAAAGGTCTCCGTCTTCATTTTTACTAACTTAAAACGCAATTTCATTTTTTACTTCAATGAATAAGTTGAAATATGAAAAGAAAAAAAAATATATAAAAATGTGGCTGATAATTTTAATTTTCATCTTCTACAATCGCTTCTAAGTCCATGGTACACGAAATTCCACCCCAGACATTGCGAATGATCGACCAAAATTGGTTACGCGATCGACTTGTTGGCCACCTTTGCTATCGAAGATGGAAATACTTTTTGCAATCGATCTAGTGATGAAATGGCCTATCAGCAAGCATAAAGGTACTTTGAGCCGAATTTCAATAAGGTGGCAGCAAACTTTTTTCTACTAACTTTTGATGTAAATAATCTGAAAGTTTCATTTGCGCTTCTATGATAGCATTTTCTACATAGTCTTTTTTAAAATGTCATTGTCGAGGGCAGCAAACTATTTGCATCTTCTACAAGGTAATGATGAACGAAATATTTGTAAATATATCTTTCGCAAATAACACACCTAAAAAGTGTCACTGGCTCCCCTACCAATACTGTCAAACGTAAAAACAAAATGGCATTTGCGGACGTATAATTGGAACTCAGGGTAGAAAACATAACAATAAATTTTGATGATTTTAAGGGGAAATAGAATTTGTGCATGATTAATAGTGATCATCAATAATAATAATAATAATAATAATATTCGCAATAGTTTGGTTGATACTCGGTTGAAAAAAGTTGTATATTAAATTACGTGAACCATTTCAGCCTTAAAAAGGGATTAACACCTTTTTTACTCCGTAAAATATTATAGTTTTAAATATGCAGCAAATTATAAGGTAAAATAAGTTACATTCTTGTTTTTTGTATGTTTTTATGATATAATAAAAAATATACGTCTTTCTAGTCTACCATATTATATCACATCTATGAAGATTATGTTAACTGTCAACGTTGAATCTCAACCAAACTCAATTTAATAATGATTAAAAAAAATAAACTATAATAATTTAAACATACATTATCTCACAAGTAACCTCCATTGTGTTCTAATTATCCTATTTGGTAACTATTAGATAGTTATACAGTTTTTTCATAAATATATATCAAAAAAAAAAAAAACTATTTTGGTGCCCCTGTAAAATCACTAAAATTTAGTTACTTTTTTCGATGGGTGTGACGACATTATTTATGGAGCTAAGACTCTTGGGAAACTTCTTTTATTAAGAATCTATTAATAATGAATATTTTTTTAGGTCGATAGTGAAATTAAGAAAATCCTTACTGACAGTTACGAACGAGCAAAGCAAATACTAAAAATTCACGCTAAGGAGCATAAGGCATTAGCCGAAGCTTTATTAAAATACGAAACATTAGATGCAGAAGACATAAAAGCCATAATGTCAGAAAAAACCAGCGAAAAGAAAAAATCTTAGGATTAATAAAATATTTTTTTTGTTGAAACATTCAGCATTTTTTTTTGTCTCTTTTAAAGGTACAATAGAGGTATTTTAGCAAATTTGTAAGTTATGTAAATACTTTCAACTTACTTATTGTCATTTGGATTGTATATCTTTAATTTAATAATTTTTGTTAAACAAAACCAAGTTTTATCTGCGCTGGAAATATTCTAGAGTGATTATAATAAAGAAGTTATAACAAAAAATTCTGTTTATTTTGTTTGACATTGAATGCTGTATAAATTTAAAGTAAGTAAATTTTTTTCATATATAATGTAGAACCATATTATGATACTCAGTCCCTCTTCAAATTTCTAAAACCCACAGGTACTAACATTTCATAACCAAAATAGTTGGACTTTAAAACGTTCTTTCACAAAAGTGTTTTCCAATCTTCTCAATGCCCAATCTTTCAAGGCCCGTATCAACAAGCTACTTCTGCTTTTGCTAGCTATTCGTGGTGCACTTTTAGATTTTTACACTCATGGACGTCAATCAAAAAAAATATATATATTTGGATAATCAGGCAAGTTAATTTCATTTCGAAAGAGGATTATCCTACAAGTTATGAGTATTCAATCAATATTTGTATTGTCAAAGCTACAACAAACGCTTATGAATATAATTATGCAATACTATCAATAACAAAATATGTTTTTTTACTAAAATATTCTTAAACAGTCTTTTAAAAGTTGTAATTTTCTGTCATATTAATTTTGACAATTTATTTTACATTTTAATCCTATTATAAATGAAGGAGTCTATGATGCCTAATAAATAAAAGCAATATTTATGTTCGCGGGGTCTCTAATACAAGCCCAATAACCAGAAAAGAAAAAAGTTATCCTTTGAGAATTCGACCCAAAAATCTCTATAAAACATATATTTCTTTTCACGAAGTTGTGACATGCTCCTGGTTCACCTACAGTGAATCGGCGAGTCTGTGTGGCGCTATGAAGGTGAATCCCGAATAGGGGTTGCTCAGCCGCCAGTTTTGGTATCGCAGTTTGCTCTGCGACCCTGTGGTACACCAGAGTGTACTCAAGGTGAACTCAGTGAAGGTAAAAATAATTCCAGGCGGTCACTGCTAGGTAGCCACTATACTAGAATAAATACAAAAAATAAAACACTTATCTCCTTTACACCTCGTAAAATATATATTTACAAAAAAAATAATACAACGGTAATTAAATATGAATGGCTCCCTGTATTCGGAAAATCTTATTAAAAATAAATTATTACACTTGAAAACTAATTAAATATTAACGGCTCCCTATATTCGGAAAATTTACTAAAAATAAATTATTAGAACTGAAAACTATTTAAATATTGACGGATCCCTATATCTGGAAAATTCATGAAAAATAAATTATTACAATTGGAAATTATTTAAATGTAGGGAAATGTTTATGGTTCATTAGCGCAGGAGGCTAAGCGGTCTGGGAATTATGAAACTCCCTGTATACGGAACATTTATTAAAAATAAATTAATACACTCGATAACAATTTAAATATTGAGAAATAATTACGGTTCGCTAGCACAGGGGACCAAGCGGTCCGGGAATAATGAAACTCCCTATATACGGAAAATTTATTAAAAATAAATTAATACACCTGAAAACAATTTAAATATGACGGTAATCAAATGCAAGCAAATAAATGAAATCAAAGTTGTCGGAACCCCCTCGTATCTTAACCACGAGCAATGGGAAGCGAAAATTTTGGTCTAGTGAGAAACATGGGTATTCATGCGGGGTTTTGGACGGCGGAGACGACGATCGTAGAAAATAATATTTTGAAATTTGCCCAGAGTCGATTGATAGCGTGTGTGAATTTAATTTTACAGAAGTCGTCTGGCTTCATTCAATAACTAATTATGGACGGGGAACGGAATAATTCAAATACAGCTGAATAAAAAAAATTAAAAGGAAAGAAATTTTACATGAAGTGAGGGGCGGAAATTAATTTAGACGTCTTTTTGGGAAATTAGATAACGTCGTCAGGAGAGAGATCACTCTAACCCGGAAACGGATCGAACCTCCGGAAAATAAAATAAAAATGGAAACGGGTTGAACCTCTCACTTCAATGTTAACAGAGCGGTTTCTAAGAGAGATTGGATATAGTCGTTGACAATGAGAGCACTCAGAGTCTAGCCTACGTCCAGCCTCAAATAAAAAAAAATGCCAACGGTTTCCCACTGAGGGATGAAATGAAATATCTTGGATATGAATCAAAATTTTTCACTTGTCGTACGGGTGTCCCAACTAATTATATAAAAGTCGATATAAAAATAATATACGGTTCCTACCTTAGCAGATAAACGGGGTTAATCAATGAACTTTTTCGAAATCACGGCACTCACGGAGCATTAACTAGGCACTATCTAAGGGCGAATAGTTTTCGGCTGTCGGCAATCAAGAGAAAGAGCTTACGGCGGCCGGCAAGCAAGAGGGCGTAATTCCCAGATGTCATTGAATTTATGCTTTTCGGTAAAGCCGAGTGGGGATACCACTACTACAGCCGACTGTTTACAATTTAAAAATAAAAAAAAATGTCCTTCTAGTACCTTGACAAATAAAAGTAGATAATTCACACGAAATCGACTCTACAAAATGCCTATTCGGATTTCGGCAAATATAGGAATAAATTAACCTACGAGGGTACTCGCAATTGTTGAAAACGGTAATTCCTGCGAAACAGAAATACGGGGGACGTTCTACATGTCCTCAGGCGGGAATTAATTGAAATAAACATTTTTTAAATTAATTAAGAGCAAAATTTAGTGACTTCGTCACAAAGTAATAATCATTAAAACATTTAACGCGCTTATCTTAAGTAATTTCAAATATTTAAACCGATTTCGACATGATATTGACACAAAAATTCCAAGAATTTCTCAAGGCACGTAATAAATCTACCACCCGATTTTATTCACCAAAAATTCGTTTCCACCGGAGTTACGACAAATTAACAAGTCATTAAAAGGGTATAAATACCCAACCTCGTGGAACGCACGATTCATTGTTATTTTAAATCCAGTCTAATAATTCAGTTGATCCTCAAATTTGATTATGTTTCAAGTTCAGTATTCAGTACCTTAACTAAATAGACGCTCTTCCTATTCAACGCCTACCTCCCGACGACCTACCTCGCAAATGTCCCGACGCTCAACATCTCTCCGCCCTACTTCTTTACCTTTCTACGTCCCGATGATCTATCTCCAAAACGCTGTCATGTCCCACATCACCTTAATATGTCCTAACTTATATCCGTTCCGACGTAGTACCGTAAATGCCTTCCGCCACGACGCTAGGCGTCTCGATGCAAGGCGATGCTCAACGCTGCGACGTACCCAGGATCGACGCCGTCAAACCGCTAGATAAAATTAGTACATAAAGTCTAGTCTAATGTCTGTATTTTCAACGGTGATTCGAAAAGGTTAATGTAACTTTCTTTGAGATATCATCCAAGGTCGTTCGACATTTGCTTCAAAATATTATGTAACTCAATAAACCATATGACCTTCGGACATTCACCCCGATAGATAGTTAAAGTTATACGTCTGTTTTTCGATGGGTGAATTTGGGTTATTTCAGTAGAAAGTATAAAATATTTTAGAAATGGGTTATTTATGCACACAAATCTATTAAAACCTAGATGGTAAAATTTAATAGTAAGTTAATCAACTAGTGAATTGCCACTGTTCGCTAGCTCAAGAAGAACACCTATACTAGCCACTCATTCTACTAGGTTTGAACCACTGATCTGTATTATTTTACTGGATACGATATAGCCCCCTAAAAAACGTTCCGAAAAATTGACCGATTTGGGCAAATAATATGGCGGACCGGATGTTATTTAACGTAACCTCTATTTCCATTTGTCATCACATTTGTCATTTAATAGTGTCAACAAGTTACGATAAAATGTTTTTATTGTGGAAAACAAAGTAAAAAGAGTATGAAATAAAGAATAAACGTTCATTCCTGAAGACACAATATGCTTCACGTTTCCATTTTTATATTTTCTTTCATAAAAAATCAAATCATGGGTGAATTTTCCCGAAGGACATCACCCGCAAAAGGAATAGAAGAAGAATAAGAAGAAAAACTAATCAAATTATAGGTTAGGTATGTCAAATTATCCCAAATTTCAGTTCTGTGAACCCACTATAATTTGCCCAAATCGGCCAGCATTGTTGCACTTCCGGTCTCCTTGGTGGAACGATTTTTTAGTATGTTAAATATAGCCTATATCCTATCCAGTAAAATAATACAGATCAGTGGTTTGAACCATAAAAATGTCTGTGAACATCAACACAGTAAGTTAACCAACTGGCGAATTGGCGCTGTTAAATCCGTTTGTCATCAGTCATCACTTCTATACTCGTCGAAATAAATACTTAAGAAAATACAATCCTGTATATATTTAGGATAGAATCAATCTAAATAAAATATATCTTGCATAGCAAATGAACGTTCCGCGTTTTAGCGAGACTCAAGTGAGATCTCGATAAAAAGTAACAATTCTAATATACTTTGCAAATTATTGCGTGACATTTTAAAGTATAAAAAATAAAAGGGTTTAAATATGAATTTTTTATGGTTTTATTTACCAATTTTCACCAAACTTTGCATCGAATCCTGGTTTATTTTAATTAACATTATCACAACGTGGGTTTATAAATTATCAATTAATTAACTAGACTATCAGTAAGTATAGAATTGAGAAAATAAAATTGAGAGGTAAATAATAAAATTTCAGATTTAAACAAAAATCAAAGGGGTATGGGGGTGGGCGGTTACAGTATGCGTAACCACAGGTTATTATAACATGTCACATTAGTATTTGCATAGGTTAATTTATTTTTGTGTATAATACAAGTAGTTTCAAGAATGAACAACGATGTTAAGGTTAACAGTTTTGACTGCCAAACATCGAGAAAAAAGTTTTTTGTTTAGCAATTCTACGCATGGTTCTTAAATTTAAAATTATTGTCTAAATTAATGACCAGAAATTGTATTGTGTCAGTACATATTTATTAAATTATTTTAATTTAAATGCAATTGAAGTTTATAGATTTTTTGAAAAATGTTCAAGCTAAAAATGTGCTAAAAGTAATGGCAGTAAAATTATAAAATACAATACATAATTATTCACAATTCATTTACAGAAAGCTGTTAAAAAGAACGATCTAGAACGTTCAAGCAGTGGGTCTTCGTTCAGGAAGTAGGCTCTTGTTCAGGCAGTGGGTCCTCGTTCAGTTAGTGTGGGCCCTTGAGAACAACAAATGCAAAGAAACCCTCGGAAAAAGCATCAGTGTGCAAAGAGGACTTTTTTTTGTTCTTCAAGTCCACCCTGTATTATTTATTCAACTAGCGACTTATAAATAAAATAGTATTAAGTAAACTCCTAGTCATAAATTTATTTATTCTTTATTAACGGGGATTTGTCCCTATCTGATACAAAAGAATATAAATCTCTAACTAACATTGATTAAAAGAAACGTAACATAATAAAAATTACTATTTAATAAGTTGCACATTTCATCACCTACCAGTAAAACAATTTTTAAAAATATGTAAAACAATTAAAGGTCAGTTTTTTATTGTACTTATACTCGTTTTGGTTCACTGTGTTTAATTGCTTCCCAGCTATTATCCTCAAAAATAATGACAGTATCATCTGCTTATGATTTTATCAAACCATTTATTTGGGATTTTAACATATGTAAATAATAAAAACAATTGGACCAAGAACCGTTCCTTGGGGTACTCCCATTTGAATGATATCTGGTTAACAGTTTTTGAAAAGATCTAATTCAGTGCCTCGCACACTTTAGTGTTGCAACGCATTCCCATTAAGAAATCATTGATGAAACACTGTATCAAATGCCTTTGCTAAGTCCAAGAACACTGCAGTACATTTATGGGGCTTTATCCAACCCAAGTTTAATGTGATTAAAAAGTTCGAAAATTGTTGGTTCTAAACCCTGGTTTAGTTAAACCCAAATTGCTTTTCACTCAGAATGTTATTTTTGTGTAGATATTCATGCAAACGTACTTTAATGCATTTTTCAAAAATGTTAGCAACATTTTATAAAACTGATGGGTCTGTGTTAGAGTTGCTAGATTTACGAAAGTGAAAAGCGTGACAACCGTGCCGACAGAGCTCAGGTTCAAATACCAAAGCATTTTTATATAATCCAGGTCCATTATTTCTGAAATTTCTAAAAAAAAAAGATCTCACTTAACATTTTTCTATAAATCCAGTTCTCCTTTTTATTTACGGCTTTGAACATTAAAAAGCGTGGTATTTGCATAAATAGACATAAAAAGAGTGGCATTTTTGTCAAAAGCGGGACATTTTCGTATTATGGCGTTGAGAGTACAAGCAAGTCGAAAAGTGTCAAAAAGACGTCTGGCAACCCTAGTAGTTATAGCTATGTTATTTTTATTTCCAGTTTTGTAGGCACAACTATATTGATATTTTAAAATGTTCAGGTATAATGCCGGTCAGAAATATTAAATTTATTTTATTGTGAACAAGTGGGTATATCAATTAAGTGATTATAGTTATTTTGAATAATTTTTAACCGACTTCAAAAAAGGACGAGGTTCTCAGTTCGTCGTAATATATTTTTTTATGTATGTTCAGCGATAATTCTTTAACACGGTGTCCGATTTCAATGATTCTTTTTTTGTTAGAAAGGGAGTGGTTCAGGGGTGGTCCTATATAAATATGGTCAAAATCTAATAATTGGGCCCATTAGAAAATTCTCAAACTCTTCATTTTTTATGTATGTTTACTATGTTTAGCGGTAATTCTTTACCACCTTATCCAATTTCTATTATTCTTTTTTTGTTAGTAAGCAGGGGGTACTCTCAGGGATGGTCCCCTATAAATTTAGTCAAGATATGGTAATGGCATGTGCACGATTTTAAAGTCGGTTTTTTAAAATTACTTTTATTGTAGTGATCTCAATTCCTGGTGAGCTACCGTTTTTTAAACTTTTGATATATGACGCAATTTCGTTTTTTTCAGGTGGTTTAAGAAAACTAGAGTCTTTAATAGAAGGATAATTTACCTTAAACTTGACCGAAGGTATATTAATTTTTTCTGCTAATTTGCTACCTACCCTCTTCAGTATAGTACAAAAATCTACCATTTCTTTATCAGTAGCGAAAGTTTCATGGGTTATGTGATTTTCAATAACAATTTCTTCAGTTGAATTATTAGTTTTTTCATTTATAGCTTCTTTTACAATGTAGTTTTTTTCATCTTTTGTTTTCAAAAATATTGGCATATTTAGTTTTGGCTACTACTTAAGTTTTATTTAAACATTTTTTACAGTTATTCTGTTTGTTTTTCTTAACTATTTTTTTTAGATTATCTTTAATTTTAATTGAGTTTATTATAACCATTAGTTATCAGATGATTTAGTTTTTGTCCTAAGCTATAGCGGGTTTTTTTAGAAATATTTTTTCTCAACTCATAATGGTTGGAATTAACTTTGAAAATCGATAATAATAATAACATTCAGCGTTATGATTTCCTTACCGAATATTTGGTAGGGAACATAAAGAATGCATGCGTCACATTGCTGTGCCATAAAACCGTATAATGCCATCAGCAAATAGAGTGATAGTACCTGCGATTTTAAGTTGTAATTTACATAAAGGAGAAATAAAATGAGACCCAAAACAGAACTCTGAGGGACTCGCCAACTAATATCTAAAACCTGATAATCTTTAGTAGCTCTTATATTTACTTATGTTCTGAAAGATAAGATGTTACCCGCTTCATCTTTGATCCCGTAAACTCAAAAGCTTTTGAAACAGTGCTATATGAGTGACACAAATGTTTTAGTTTCCTTTTGATTTCTACACAAGTATTGCTGGTATTATGCCTTTTTTACTTGAAATGCTGAATAGATCATTTTCTACACTGATACTAGTGTGTGTGAAAATATACTTGAATAGGGTAAGTGAAAATGCTAATCATGATATAAATATTTTTTAATTTTTATAGTTGACATTTAATTTCACAATCAATAAATATTTTTACTCTAAAATTATTAATTTCAAAGTTATGGCTAAGATATAAAAATCAAATTGTAATTTTACTTCTTACAGGTAAGTATAATGATTTATTTGAAAACCATTTTTTGGCTAGAATAAGAGTGAATTTATTAGAGGATACTTTGGCAGTCAGATCCAGTCTGAGAATTTTTAAACCTTTATGCAAATTCTCTTACAATTGTACTCTGAAACTACTCACAAAATTTTGTAGGTGTTATTCCTAATACTGTGTATGTACACTACTTATTTTTCTTGTCTAGCATAACCATAAATTGATAGTGACATAACTGCAACTTTATATTAAATATGTATACATAAATATATACAGAAAAATGTTTTACATCAAAAAAAGTACTTGCTAAATAAAGGTAAATCAAAAATACAAATATAAATTTATTTAAAAAATTCAGTGCTGTAAATATAATACTGAAAAACAAAAACAATATACAAACATGATATTACATGCATTTGTAGCCCACTTTGTAGTTACCAAGAAATGCATTTTATACTTATTTAAAGCATTTTTCAGTTCTTGGCAGTAACATTAACAAATATAACAAAAGGAACTTTGCTTAAAATGAATCATCTTACATTTTATAAAAAACAATAAGCAAGACAAAATATACTTACTAAACTACATGTTAAAAATATAATATAAAAATAGTTTTACTTTTAACAATTCAATCTAGTAATCAAGATGAATTTGTGGCCTTTTCGTTGTCCTGGTGTAATTGTTGATTCAAAAATGCTACATTACTTGATTTCAGTCGTAAGGCAGCAGCCATATAAGGAGAAGGAGACATACAGGGTGTTGAACTTAGGCTGTTACTAATATCACATTGGTCCAACATCAAAAGCAATTCATCTGTGGTTGGACCACCATGCGATTGATCTATGTCAGTCTTATATGAAAGATCTAAAGCAGTTGTAAGATCCCACATTTGGATGGAACCATTTGAATGCCCAGTGAAGATAAATCTTCTGGGTCTAGAACCCATTCTACTAGAACCTTCACATTCATGGACACAAAATGCAGTTACTGTGCTACCATCTACCGATTTTATAACACAAATTCTCTTGCCATTACTGGCTAGTCTCACAAATATTTGATCAGAATCTGGAACTACTTTCTGAATAAATACTTGTTCATCATCTTGTTCTCCAAATGGACCACATTCAACAGCTGCTCCATAATTGATTGTTGGAGAAGGTTCTATAGTTTCCAGAGCTATAATTTTAAAGGAAGCTTCTGGTGTTGATCCTGGTTGAGTGGATAACATTCCTCTAAATCTAGTTACTCTCCAACTTCTAACATGGTTATACTCGGAGCATACAGACACTAAATATTTCTCAGATAAAGTTACTTTCACTACTTTACTTTGATGAACAGTAAATGTTTGAAATAGCTGTGGTCCATGTCCAACAGTTTCAGGATGTTGTACTATCAATCTAACAGCTCCAGAAGTCGTACCATATGCTATTTCAATCCAATTTCCACAAATGTTAGTTTTAGGGGTAAGGTAAACTGAAATTGATGTGACAGGTTCATTATTTGGATCTCTGTATAGCTCAGTTACCAATAGATCATTATCCTTCATTCTCAGAGGAAACTTTTGCATATCTATGTAATAAATGCAACCATTGTTGCAGCCTAATAATAAAATGGAACCTGCAGTATCAAAAGATGCAATAGGCATAACATCTTGTGTCTGCCATTGTTGAGTCATAGCATGCCATACACCAAGTTTTCCTGAAGGAGACAGTGCTACTAACTGACTCCCAATAAAAAATAAATATTCAACCCTTACATATAAGTTAAAAATACCAACATTAGTTCTTTGACCTATATCAGAAATTCCCCACAATCTTATTTGACTGCCATATGAAATAGCCACCATTTTTGAAGTTTCTGATGCACCCATCTTAGCATTAATTGCTATCCGTTCTATTTGGCTTTCAATATAAGGACTTGTAAATACTAACTGCCAACCACTGGAATCTTTTAATCTATAACAAACAACAAAATGTGCATAAGCCACCACAATCCAGTTGTGATGAGCCTTTATAATCTGGACTCTGAGAGGATCAGCCCAATATGTACTAGTCACTCCAAAAATCAAGCCAACATCATTTCTTATTAACTTATTCAGATCAGCTGAAGAATTTCTAGTGTGTCTCAGATCTAATGATGCTGCCCTAGAATGACATCTACCAGATAAGCCTCGCAAATCCTGTGAACTTCTGCTGTAGCCACCTGATGCGCCCAATCTTAATTCCAATGAAGAGTTTCTTGAGTGCCCATGTGGTCTATTTGGTAAAGCTGGATGGTTGTGATTTTGATTAGATCCATTATTTGTATCACTATTTTCTCCATGATCTACTTGTCCCTCTGGAAGTCGACTAGTGCCCACTCTAGCAATCGATTCTGTAGACTGGAATATCTGTCCTGGATCTTGTACAGGAATACAAGGGGGAGGAAGTGCGCCATAGAATAGAACGTCTCCACAAGTAGGTTGAGTTAATTCTTCACATAACAAAAGCCTTTTCACCAATGGAGCAACGTTATAGTATTCAGCCTCATGTCTCAGAGTATGTATATCTATACCTTGTAAGTCTATTTCTCTTGTACGTAGGTAATTTAAAATCACAGAAAAAAATTTGGGGTCTCTGTCAATAAATATTGCTCCCTTTTCATCCTTTAGGCTAGAGATTCTTCCACTTAGTAGAGCAGTAAAAAATGTGTCTGGGATTAAAGAAAGGGTTTGTCTGGAAGTTGTAAATCTCTTTCCACCCACATTTAAATGTAAAATATCTCCAATAGTACTTTGTTGTTGAAACGACATATTTTGCGTTTTCGGTAGTTTACAGATTGTCAATTATAATGTAGTATAATTGTATATTATATTATCCATTGTGTAGTAAAAATTTGACAAAAATAGAAAACCATTAATCAGTCGATGACACCGATGACATATATGCCAGAAAAAAAAACAAATTAATTATGAAACATCGATTCTTTGGAAAACGATTATGTGAAAGTAAAGTACATTCGATTCTTAAGTTGTTCTTACACTTACACGCTTGCGTTACACACAATTTTTCTCATAATCAGTAAATCAGGATACCAAATAAAATTGTTAACAACATTAAAAGGCATTTATCCGGACACGAACAAATATGGCTTTGTCACGAATTAGGGCGCATCAAATTAGTCTGTTTCGAAATAGCGCTGAAGGAATTAAGACCGGTTAGGTGTTAGGGTGTTCAGTGTTCAGGTCACACTACGCTCACGATCCGCTCACAATCAACGATTTGAGGTAGAACAGAAGTAATAGTTGGAAATGCTTCTGCCAGTTTTCCCTCAGAGTAAGTAGTACACATAAATTGACAGGTTGGCAGCGGATCTCACCGAAGTGGACGCGATACAGTGGCGTACAAAATTATTTTATAGATGTTAATAACAATTTCGAGTAAATAGTTTAATAAATTGTGAATAGCTGTTGAAATTTTGTAAAATTATAATTTGAATATTATAATACATGTTTAATAATTATTTATAATCCATAAATACATGCGATTGTCCGGTTCCGCCGATAACAATTTAAAATTACTTATTCTATGAAACGACACTGGCAGGTAAACATTACTGTGAAAATCTCGGAGGCGCCCGACGTGGTTTGACGTTTACCCCCTCTCTACCTACCAAAAGACTTTTCAACTTTTACTTTCTCTATAGTATTCGCATATTACACTCAACTGGACGCTCATTTCAATATTTTTAAGAAATTTTATAAAAAGGATCGACACATGCCTATTGTAAGATGAACAAATTATTAATAATTGATTTAGCTGCAATTGCAATATGTTTAGATGATGAAGAACAATAACACAAGAAACGTCCGAAGATATGTATTTACGATATTTTTAAAAAAACGAAAAACTGAAGAATTTTTTATATAAAGACCTTGTATACGATACAAAATTTTCGTATGACAAAACATACATTTTGAATAAAAATTCAGCAAATTTGATTAAGCAAAATACTACATTTCGGGAGGCAATTTCACCGCTAGAAAATAGAGAAGTTGTGACTAGTCTGATTGTACACACTGACGCAAGGTCCACTCACGGTTCTTTCAAAATATCCGCAAGGAGAAAGATTGCGGTCAAAGATCATGTGAGCGAAACGTAAAATATAAATATTTCCATTTAAATGACATGTCACAATAATATTACATCGCGCAGTGAATGGAGCGTGAGCTGAGCGTTACCTGAACAACAGTGGGAAATCGGCCTTTAGCGTCCGAACGAAATAGCGTCCACTCAAAATATCGCATTAATTCGACAGTCCATATAAGCTCTACTTGTAGGTCCGCAGTGAAAAGATGTGAGGCATGAGGTGAGAGATAAGAGAGGGGATGAAAAGAATGATTTTACGGCAATACATTTTTTTTATCAATGTATAAATGTGTAAGAAAGGTGTTATCGCTTGTGCACTTATAACCCGGTGAATTGTCGTTCACCGTGACTTATAATAAACAACGTAGAAATCCATGCCGGTGTAAGCCCTGTTGCCACATTCAATTATTGAATTTATTGAAAATAATTATTACATCTAATTTAGTTAAATTTGATATAACTAATAATGATTCAAAATGTTTTGGGTTCAGTTGCAATTAAATAGGTTGAATTATTTAAGCTTTTGAAGATATGTGAATAATTTTGTAAACAAAACGAGAATAAAATATTGAAATAGGCATATGACAACAGCGGATATTATACCCTCCTGTGTCCCTTAGAATATGTCTTATTCACTACTATAGCACGATATTAGTAGTTATCCTGTTCTCAATAATAAATTATCTAGAGTTATGCGTCTTTATAATAAATATAACTGTAATACAATAATAGAAGTATCTTACAATAAATTTATAAGGAAACTCTGTTTGTCACGTCCTAAGGTTCAGCTTAAATTGTGGGTTTATTTTTTATGATATTGTCTTTTCATTATTTTACGTACTAATAATATTTTGTATATTTATATTTTGTAAAAGGATTTATGCCCGTTTAAATAAATAAACATATTAAAATTCAATCGGATTCGGTCATTCAAAAAAGATATATCTGTTTCGCGTGTGTTGGAACATTCGATTGGAACAGACCTTATAGACCAGTGGATTCGGTCCGGCCCTGTTGTAGTATGAGCGAGCCTTTAGTTTTAGTACGAAGAATCGATGAAAGGCAGAATCGAGAATAAAATACTTTTTAAATCGATTAATATATTGTCGATGACCTAAACGAAAATGACAAGATGGGATTGAAGTTTGAAGTGTAGAGAGAGGAACGAGGAAAGTCAAAAGTTGATTATGTTCAGATTCAGAAGTATCTAGGTAATGTTTATGTAGTTGTTGCCAATTAAATTATTATAATTACATGTATTTTATTGTTATTTCAGACTAAATTATTGTAACTTATAACCATGACTACTGAACAAAAATTTAATGCAGCAGTAAATGTAATTAGAAGTTTACCAAAAAATGGTAAGTACTTTTTCACAATATTACTATTATCCTGGGATGAAAATATTATCTAAATAAATGGCTTAAAATGATAGGATTACATTATTTTGCTTTAGTCAAAACACTTCATTTATTTCTGATTTTAGGTGTACATTTTTGAGTTTAAAGTTATAATTAACACTTAACGATTGTATGCTAATGGATTTTAAATAGAGGAATTTCTTCCGATTAGATTAAAAGATAATTTATTAATGTAGTCATTTAATTTTAATAGTTACAAAGAATAAAGGTAATATCTACCAGCTAAATTTGATGCAAGCTTTCATTATTTACTGAAAGACAAAAGTCCTTTTTTTATTTTATTGGTCTCTGCTACTGAAACATAAAATTTTAACTGATAAATATTAACATTTAAAATTTAAAACAATAGACTAAGTGAAATTAAAAATTGTCATAATATTCATAACTGCAATTTGGATTTCTTAAAAATCAAACATTAAAATAAATTGGGGTCAGAAAATTGAAACCATTTTGTGATACAGTAATTTCTAATTATGCATTTAATTAAAATATGAACTAGGCGACTGCAAATAGGAGAATCGATGTCACCATTTCAGAACACATTAACAGAAATATCAATGACCAATTCTCATTCTGCACATTGTACCGATTTGTCCTATTGTTAATTTATTATTTATGTTGAAAACTTATTTAATTTTAAATTTATTTAATACATACAAATATAATAATAAAAATAAGAAGGAAAATAAATTAAATTGAATTAGTTAAATTATATATACAAAAATATAATAGTTACTAATGTTCTTTCAGTGTCAGGAGATTTTGATAGTGAAGGCATTCACCATTTATGTTACTGTGCTTTTTACAGACTTTCTGTTGCATTTCAGACAACACATTTTTGTTCTATTGTTTTTATGTTTCCCACAATATGTAACAAATTCCAGATTTTAGTGGATACAGTTGAAATATCTTTTGGTAGTGACACAAGTGAGTGTCTTTTAAATGATCCTCCATAAGGACCATGTTGAGGTTTTTCAGAGAAACACATCTTCTGTCTGTTACCTTCAAATTTCAAAAAAGTAAGCTATCTTTACAAACAAATATTTGGCAAAAATTACATGATAAGGCGCGTTTCGGCAATTACACCGCAACTCTGACACATTTGAAATTAAAGTGCAATAAAATATCACCAGGAACGCTCAAGGTCTGAAAATATACCATGGACAGTTCTAAACTGTATACTTGTCAGGTATAGCAGAAGTAAAAGTTGGAAAGGCTTTTGCCAGTTCTCCCATTTTATACACATAAATTGACAGGGTTGCAGCGGATCTTACCGAAGTTGACGCGATACATTGGCGTACAACATTATTTTATAGATGTTAATAACAATTTCGAGTAAATAGTTTAATAAATTGTGAATAGCTGTTGAAATTTTGTAAAATTATGATTCGAATATTATAATACATGTTTAATAATTATTTATAGTCCATAAATACATGCGATTGTCCGGTTCCGCCGATAACAATTTAAAATTACTTATTCTATGAAACGACACTGGCAGGTAAACATTACTGCGAAATTCTCAAAGCCGTCCGACGTGATTTGAAGTTTACCCCCTCTCTACCTACCAAAAGCCTTTCCAACTTTTATAACAGAAGTAAAAGTTGGAAATGCTTTTGCCAGTTCTCCCACTTTATACACATAAATTGACAGGTTGTCAGCGGATCTCACCGAAGTGGACACGATACATTGGCGTACAAAATTATTTTATAGATGTTAATAACAATTTCGAGTAAATAGTTTAATAAATTGTGAATAGCTGTTGAAATTTTGTAAAATTATAATTTGAATATTATAATACATGTTTAATAATTATTTATAATCCATAAATACATGCGATTGTCCGGTTCCGCCGATAACAATTTAAAATTACTTATTCTATGAAACGACACTGACAGGTAAACATTACTGTGAAATTCTCGGAGCCGCCCGACGTGGTTTGACGTTTACCCCCTCTCTACCTACCAAAAGACTTTTCAACTTTTACTTTCTCTATACTTTTGCTATAGAGCCATACAGCTGCAGTTCCAAGGTCAACAAAAATATTAGATGTAGAGTTAAAAATGCGGCACTATGCCGCGAGCGCGTCCGCCAGAGGGTTAACTTATTAAATGGCGAACCCACATTTCCATAGAGTTGCAATTGTGCACATACATCTTAGGTCAAATCATTACAAAAAAAATTACAGACAAGTTTTTGTAAATACCCTGTATTTTTATTAGTCTGTTTCCAATGCAACAATATGTTTCTTAGTAATCAGCCAAACAATCACAATTTTGTTATTGTCATCTTCAGATTAATGCAATATTTTTTGTTAACTTCCTTTAAATAATAATAAAATAGATGCATCTGTAAGGTGGGGGAAGGTAGGTTTCCCCATAGCACTTAGGCATCTCTAGGCCTATTGTGCATCATCCAGGGACATATACCACCTGCCTCTTAGCTCACCAGAAGTTCTGCTGGTTGACAAGTCACCGAGAACTGTCTTAAGGCTAGCCAGTCTCTAATCTCTACAAAGTACGTGGGTAAGGTGTAAAATTTTCAGCCTGACACAGAGATTTTCAATCAGCAAAAATGTATGTTTCCTGTCTGGGTGCATGTGTCATTAGTTCTTATGACAAGTTCAACTTGTTCTATCAAGTAGTTTATTTACAAGAATTTTGGCAGTAGACGTATCGCGTTGCTTTGGACAAACTTGAATATCGTACAGTCATAAAATTATTTCGTTTTGGTTGAGTTAACCCTTAATGAAATTACAAATGATAATATGTTGCCTGTAAATGCTTGCTTACGTAGGTTTTCTCTCGCTAACTCCCATAAGAGGTCATCAACCATCAAGGTCCACACAGTATTGAATTGTATGAGACCGAATCAAAGGCTCCTTCTATTTCTAGTATTATTTATTTGCTTTCTAATGCTTGTATAACCTTTTGAGCTAGCCTAGAGTCTATATTTAGTTTATCTTGTTATGTTCCTATGTTGTCTACTAGTTTATATCCCAATGATTTTAAAATTGTTTTATTAAATATTAGTAAAAAAAATATTTGTAGAGGTACAGTAAACGCCAAATCTAAAGAACGCGCATTTATAAATGCTATGAACACGCCTACCGATGAATAGAATTGGTAGCTTACCTAGAAAGTTATAAACCAGGGGCGCAAAAGACACAAAACAAATGGAAAATAGTGAATGATGCTTTTTCATACATATTGCTTAGTGTTATTATTAGTTCATAATTCTATAGTCAATTAAAAAATCATTATTTTTAGGTTAAGGAGAGCTCTGGTGGTCTAGTATTTTGTATTTTAACTGACATTAATTTTTTCCTTCCGATTTTTTATACCGAATCTTCATTTCAAAACTGGATAGTCCAAATAACTTCTGATTTTACGTAAATTTAAGAAAAACAAAAACATGTTTAATTTTATATTATATAGCCTATAAGTAAATACAAACAACGTAAACAGTAAATCACAAGTAAATAATGTTCATATGTCTTCGTCAGATTCTTCGTTGAAAGAAGACTCGTCACTGTCGTCACTGGAATCCTCATTAGGATTAATGACGATAGGATTAATTTCCGAACATAAATCAGTTTGTATTTCTCTTTCAAAATATTTATCTTCCCCCTTTATAACAGGATCGCATCGCTTTTTCCATTCCTCCATACCGATTTTGTTAAATTCTTCTTCTGCTCATTGTTTTACGTCTTCTAATTTAAAGGTAATATTCCTTTGACTGACATTATTCTTAACAGTTGCCCAAATCAATTCGATAGGGTTCAAGTCGGGGTGATATGGGGGTAACCGTAAAGCGGACACAACTCATCAAATGCATATGTTACATGTCGGTCCTTATGAGATTTAATCAGTTCGTATAACTCTGGTTTCAAACTTGTTGGATTAAAAGGTATGTTGTATTTTGTCAACCATTCGATCATATCATTCTTCAAAGAATTGGAATTAGGTGCTCGATTTGTCTGTACATTGTGATAACTAGCATTATCACAAACACTTACTGAATTAGGTGGAAGATTAGGTATTAACTTCTCTCTTAACCATTTGCCGTCATTTTCCGAATTTATTTCGGAATGATAATCTCCAGACTTGGTCCCTGATTTGAATATCAACAAAGTATTTTTGATAAAATCCATTTCTCCCCCACCGTGAACTATAATAATCCTTTGTCCTTTAGAAATAACAGAAAACAAACCTTTTGTTGAATCGTCTGTCCAATTCTTGGAAGGAGTATGTTCGCTGTGTATATATGTTTCATCTAAATAAATGATTGGTCTATTTTGACTTCTAAAATATTTGATCTGTCTCAAATATTTTACTCTTAGTTCTTATTTTCATATTTTGTACCAAAACTTTACGATTATTTTGTGTTTTTCTCCACTTAAATTGTAATTTTTTAAGGATTCTTCTTAATGAAGTTTCTGATATGTGGATATCTAAATCTTCCTTAATTTTATTATTTAACCTTTTAAGAGTAACACGAGACTTTTCTGTTCTATGAAAATCGTAAATTATTTTTCGAATGTCCCTCAATTGATATTCAGGGAGATTCGTAGCGGTTGATTTTTGATATCATCTAAAGTAACTCCTTCCTTTTTTGTTGCGTCAAAATATTTAAAAACATCGTATATTACTTCACGACTTTGTCCGTTAATAACAGATCTGCGCTTTTTTTCACCCACAATAGAAGACATCAAAAATAAAACCAGTCACTTTAACCAAAACACAGAAACAAGAAACAAACAATGATCTAGTCGTTACGCTACTGACCATAAGCAAGGACAAGGTTCAAATTGTGAATAGGCGTGGCGATTTTTAAGTAAACGAACTTGAGCATTTGCTCTGGTTCTTTAGATTTGGCGTTTACTGTACCTATGTATGAAATTGATATTGATATTTTTAAAACTACAGTTAATACATAAA